GCTGGCTTCGGGGAAGGGCTGTAGCCAGTGGGAGGGGAGGCAGTGCTCCCTGGGCCCTGAGTGCTCCACGCACAGGGAGGCCCAGGGCCTGGGCCGGGGCAGCGGGAGGAGGGGAGGGGAGGGCCGGCTCCCCAGGGCCTCTCCTCTTCCTTAAGACAGTGTTTTTATTGGCGTCAGAGGGGAGGGAGAGGGAGAAACATCGCTGATGAGAGTCATGGATCACTGACGTCTGCGCGCCCACACGGGGGATCGAGCCCGCAGCCTGGGCATGGGCCCTGACCCGGAACCGAACCCCGACCTCCGATTCATAGGTTAATGCTCAGCCACGGAGCCACACCAGCTGGGCTGCTCTTCATTTTAAAAATCGGTCTTTTGATCCTCACCTGAAGGCATTTTCCCTTGACTTTTAGAGAGCGGGAGGGGTGAGAGAAACATCGGTGTGGGAGACACATTGGTCGGTTGCCTCCCACATGTGCCCTGACAGAGGCAGGGATCCAGCCTGCAACCAGGCACATGCCCTTGGCCAGGAGTCGAACCCATGACCCTCTGGTCCTCCGGTCGACACTACACACTGAGCACCCCGGCCAGGGCTCCCCTTGGTCTTACATTCCATTTCAGATGTGTGTGCCGGGAGCGGGGCAGCGCTTTGGGGCACACGCACTCCTTCCCAGGGAGGAGGAAGTCCCCACACCTGCTGCCTCACTGGCAGCCCGGGCCTTGGGGCACCTGCCTCTTCAGGAAGGACTCCCCCCCACCCCCGCAGTGCCTCCAGGGGGCGCCCCAGGTTGCACGGTGGGCCCCAGGGGGAGGGGAAAGGCGGCCCCTCCAAGGCCTTTGGCTGCGCCCAGCAGGGAGCCGAGTGCGGCTCACCCTTCGCTGGAGTGCGAACCCCAGCCGAGCTGAAGGGAAGGCTCCGATCCGCCTTCCCGTTTCCCGGCGATGGCGCCTTCCCGCCTTCCATCGTGGCCAGCCTGGTCTCTGAGGCAGAGCGCTCTGCGCTGCTTTTAAGCGGAGAGTGTTCCCGAGGGAAGCGCGGGGCTGTGTGTGTGCGTGCACGCACACGGGAGCCCGACACACATTTCTATGGTTACAGGCCGGCTCTCCTTTCCCGGGAGGTTGGACAGCTCAGCTGGGACCCCCGCCGCCGGCCACCTCTGCTCTGACCGGCCTCGGGGAGCGCGTGGCAGGCTGTCTGATGTGCCCGCTCCCCGCCGTCACCGCCCACAGGCCCCACCGTGCTCTGCCACCGCCGTCTCCCAGCGCCACTGCCAGCTCGCCACGCGGGCATCGGCTACCAGGACGGGCCTGGCACTGGGGGCTCAGAGCAGCTCCGCCAGGGCCAGGGCCGGCAGCGGTGCACACGGACAAACCACGGATACGCCTGTCTGCCCGGGCGCTGGGAAGCCAGGCTCCCAGGACACGGACGCCGTCCCAGGGCCCGTCCTCGCTGGGGCCCGGAACACGTCTCTCCCCGCGGCCAAAGCAGAGTGGAGTGGGGTTCGGGGACGCCCCTCTTTCCTCTCCTGGTGCTCAAGTCCTCGCAGGAGACATGGGGGACGGATGGGGTGTCCGGCGGCGGCCAGCGTGCGGTCCCCGTGGCCCGGCAGACAGAACCCGCCTGGGAGCAATGAAACGGCTGCTTTCCAGGCGAGGATGACAATGGCAGCAAACGGCTTTATTCACAACGGCCGTGGCTCAGGGCAGGGGGCTCACTCCCCAGTCTCAACAACGAGGGCAGCTGGACACGGCAGACGGACGCCGCCCAGGGACTGCCCGCCTGCCCGCCCGGGGTCACACTCCAGAAGGCACCTGGGTTAAGGACGCAGAAGGTGGTCAGCTGCTCGGGGCTGGGGAGGGCGGGAGGTGGGCCAGCAGGTTTGTGTGGGCTCTCAGGTCCTCGGAGCCCGAGCCACCGGCCACTGCGCGACCTGTTCCCAGCCCCCCGTTCCCAGGGCGCTGTGGGGCTGGCCGCCCCGCTGCGGACGGGCTGGCACCTCCTCTCCCAGCGCCACCCCCTCAGGGACAGCCTGGCGGCACAGCAGCGCCTGCCTCAGGGCCGTGCCCGTCCTCCTGCCACGCAGACGAGCCCTGGTCAGCACAGCCACACCCAGGCTGTCCCGCCTCGCACCCTCCCGGCAACCACGCTCCACACACGCCGGCAGCCCCGCATCCGCCTGGCCTCCCCTCCTCTTCCTGCCCGAGTCCGGGCCACTTCCCACCAGCGCCCGCCTCCCGGGGCTGCAGTCTGTCTGTGCGGGGGGGGGGGGGGGGGGGGGCGGGAGGGGTAGGGTGTGAGCTAAAGGTGGCCCTGTGGGGCAGACAGGCCATGAGAGAGTGCCCCTGGAGCCTGAGGGGTGGTCCCCGCACCCGGGTCGTGGGCGGGTCCCCCCACAGCTCCGCAGCCAATGACGAGGTCGCTGCCAGCTCAGGTCTGGGGAGACAGGTGTGCTCACAGACAGGGCAGGGTGTGCAGGGAAATGGCCCAGAGCCACCCCTCCCCAACACAAAGCCTCCCCAGGAGCCTCCATCCTGCTACCCCCACCCCCAGGCTCACGCAGGCCCTGCCCCCTGCCGCTGTGGGCCTCAGCACTGGTGCCCCCCTGGCAGCAGGAGGGGGCAGGCCCTGGGTCCCAGCCCTGCACGTGTGCCCGGCAGGGGCCGGGCCATCTCCAGGGAACAGTCTCGGGTCTGAGGGTCTGGGCCACAGGCAGGCTGCACACCGCACGGCCATCAAGTCACGGAGGCGCAGCGTGTGCTGAGGCCAGGGCACAGGACGTACACACATCCACACGGCCCAGGACACAAGCTGTCCAGGCCCTGGGGGCTCCCTCAGGCCCTTCCCCGGAGCGGCCGGAGGGACAGATGCGCAGAGGCCGGCTCCGGACGGAGGGGCCTCGGAACACGCAGCACCTGCGGGCTTTCCAGGCCGCTGGCTCTGGACGGGGCAGGCACCGGGGCGGGCCCAGCGGGTAGAGTGAGGCTCGGGCAGCAGCCGCCTGTGCTGGCACTTGTGGACACCGGCCGGCAGGCGCGCACCGGCCGCGGGGAGGAGGACGCTCGGGCTCCACAAACCAGCCACACGAGAAGCCGGAGTGCCGGGGGAGAGCAGTCCTGTTCTCCCCTGAGAGTGAGCGGGGTCGGGGCCTGTCCTCTGGCGGCTCCTCCTGAGCTAGCCCTCCGCCGGCAGCGTGTCCCCGAGGGTGTGGCGCCTGCCGGGGGCCGGGGCGGGGGCGGGGGCGCTTCTCTTGGCGGGCAGAGCTGGAGCCATGACAACCTCATCCGAGTCGTCCGAGTCGGCTTCTTCCCAGGGCGCGGGTGCTGCAAGGAACGGGGGAGGGGTCGCTGCTGCCCTCCGGCGGGAAATGCGGGGTCCTGCCAGAGCGGTCGGACGGACAGGACCGCTTCTCACCGCCTGGCCACCCCGCCTCTCGGCTCAGCTCCGAACACTGGCCTTGCCGGCACCGGCGCCGGAGGCTGAGTGTGGGGCCCGGGCGCGATGGCGGGCGGTGGCGGCAAATGCTGTGCCCGGGCCACCAGCCTCCTCCTGAGCATCGCCATCAGGGGGGAGGCGGGACCACTGCCTCCCCGCACAGCTGAGTGCCATGGGCCGGGGCCCACCGGGAGGCCCTCGCTCGCTCTCTGCTTGGCGGGCCGGAGGGGAGAGTGGCTGAGCCGCATCGGCTTCCTCTGTGACTCGGAGAAATGGTCACCCAAGTGGAAACTTATGAAAATAAACGCCTCGCCCTGGCCGGGTTGGCTCAGTGGATAGTGTCGCCTTGGGGAAGGGTCTCAGGTTCGATTCCAGTCAGGGGCTGTAGCAGCTCCTCCCTGGCCCAGTTCTTGCAGAAGGCAACCCACCGGTGTTCCTCTCTCACATCAATGTTCCTCTCTCCCTCTCTCCCCCACTCTCCCTCAGACCAATGGAAAAACACCCTGAGGTGAGGATTAACCGAATGAATAAAAAAAACCACATCGGTATTCAAGGTTAGCTCAGGCCTTTCCCCTCAAAACCAGACTGAGGGGCTCCGGGCCGTCACACAGACTGGTCCGGGGAGCAGGCTGCACACGGAGTGGCGGCGGCCAGGCTGCCGGGAGGCGGGCGACACCGCAGCCCGATCACAGGACCAGGCCGCACAGGCTCTGCTGGGCCGGGGAGCCGGCGCCCCAGTGCAGGGCTGGGCGGGTCTGCTGACATTTACAGACAGAGGTTTGGAGTTCGAGTGAGAGCCTGGACAAGGCTGCCAAGGGCGACGGAGACGGTAAGATGGTTTCCGATGGGGATTCCGGGCGAGCTGTGTGCAGACCCAGCAGGTCCTGGAACCTCCCCTCCCCCCCTGCAGGGAAGGTGCTGGGCCGGCCCCTCCTTCCTCGCCCCCGTGGCTGCTGCCCGTGGCCTCCCACTCACCAGGGCAGGGCTGCGGGGCTGGGCCCTCCCCGGCGTCCCCACTGCTCCCTTCGCCGTCTTCCTGACCTGAAACACGAAGCAGGGTCAGCGCCGGGCGGCCCCCACGGCCTCCGTCCTCCCGGCACCTTCGTTCAGATCTAAGGCTGCAGGCTCAGATCTCCGCCCGCCTGGCTCCTCCCCCTCCAGCAGGTGGAGGTGAGCTGCCAGTTGCAGGACGAGGTAGGAGGGTCCCCAGGACAGAGGGAGCCCTGGATTTGGGGGCTGAGAGCAATTCCCAGCTGCCTCCTCCCAGGGTCCCGCCACCCGTTCCCAAGGAGCGGCTCGGGGCCTTCCTGAGCGGAAAAGGAAACTGAAGCCACTCTTCACTGAAAACCCAGCCCCGGGGACCGGCGAGGGAGGCCCAGCTGGAGCCAAGCGCAGAGCTGGGACCCCTGCCCACAGCGGGGACCGGGCCGAGGTGGGGACGGGCAGCAGCGGGGATGGGGCACCTGTGCTGGTTCTGAGTCCAGGAAGTGTGTGGGGCTCGCCTGTCCTCCCACAGCCCCGGGAAGGGGGTGCTGTGATGAGGAGGAGGGGTAGAGAGGTGGGAAGAGGCTCAGTCTGCAGGTGCAGGAATCGGGCCCTCATGCGCTCCGTGGCCTGTGCTCTGGGGGGTGGGCTGTGGCCCTGGCACCGACACGCGATGACGTGACTCACCGGCAGGTGCTGCGGCGGGGGCAGGCGAGGAGGGCGTGCTGAGTGCGGCCGGGGCAGGCGTCCTGGTGGCGGCGGCAGGGAGCGCCCCGGGACTGGAAGAGAGACCGCAGCTGGGCTCGCTGGCTTCAGGGCCACTAGCCCGTCAGGGTGGGCAGCAGGTAGCTGCGCCCTGGCCGAATCCATCCTGACACAGCTGGCCGTGGGGGCTCCCCCAGGCCTTGGTCAGCCTCCCGCCTGCTCACTGAGGCCGGACCTCAGACACCCCTCCCTGCTGCCTCGGGGGGGAGGCCCCATCCTCCTCCCGCTGGCTGAGTGCCGGGGGGAAGGGGGACACCCGCCATGGTCGTAGGCAGCCGGACCATGCGGCTCTGCGTGGAGCAGCTGTGGCCCAGCAGGCCGAGGCGGAGGTGTGGAGGGGGAGAGCAGCAGGCACCGGCCGTGGATACAGCGCGGCCGAGCTCGCTCAGAGGGGCTGAGTCCCGCCCCAGGGCAGCGTGACCAGCAACGGCACAAATCCCCCAGGACGGTGTGGCGGCAGGAGGCCCTGAGCCCGGGGGGCGGGGAGGGGGCCCGCGGTTCCTCAGAAAGGGGGGTGCGCTGGGACATGGTGCAGCCAGTCCATGTGCTGGGCTCTGCCAGCCCCACGGGCCTCACCTTCCTGCCTGACCCGCCCGTCTGACCAGGATGGGACCACCGGCCTGCACGGCAAGGGGGCGGCTTTTGCCCTGGCCCAGCCCCCCGCACCCGTGCCAGCGCACCTGTGCCAGGGACAGAGGGACAGAGCAGGCGGGCCTGCCTGGCGCTCACCTGGGCCTGACCCGCGCCAGGTGCGCCCGGAAGACCGACTGGATGAGGATGACGGCCGCCTCCTGCCGGGGGTCGCCCTCGGCCTGGACCACGGGGCTCGGAGGGCTGGGGGAGGGCGGGCTCTGTGGGTAGCGACAGGGCAAGCCCTGAGCCGTCCGCCCTCGGGTGCACGGCTCCCTCGGGGGCGGCCCCTCCTTCCAGGCAGAGTTCCCGGCTGCAGGTCAGTTCCCTGCTAGAGACCCTCAGAGGACACCCCCGTTCCCGGAGGAGAGGCGCCCGCTCCGGACCAAGCTCCCATCTGAACGGCGGGAAGGACCTTCGCCGGGTGTCCCAGCGCCGCCACGTGACTGGGTGCTGGGCAGCGCTAGGCGGGCCTGCAGGGCCGGGAGGGAGGCAGGACCACCTGGGGGAGGCGGGATGGGGACGGGGACGGGCCGCTGGGTCCCGCCCTGGGGGTACCTGGCTGGGGAGGCCGGGCGCACTGGGAGGTCCGGGACCACACGCTGGGCTCGCCAAGAGCCTCGCCCGAGCCAGGTGTCCCCGGAAGGCCGCCTGCAGCACCGCAGCCGCCTGGCAGGGAGAGGACAGGAGATAGGCTAATGCCCAGAAGGAGGGGGTTGGGACCAGGGAGATTTTGGGGGGAAGCTCCAAGAGCAGAGGCAGGGCGTCCCTCACGTCCGACTGGGCGCCTCGCGCCAGCCCGGCCCCGTGACCGTGAGCCCGGAGGCTCAGTGTGCGTGAGCGGCGTCACACGCCATCCGCACCGGAGTGGCCGCATGACCTCGCCTGCCGTGTCTTCCGCCGGATCCCACGGGACCGGGACTGAGCTGCCGGAGCCCCCACGCTCACCTTCTCGGAAACTGGGCCCAAACCCGCTCACCTTGTCCAGCGCGGCCTCTCTCTTCTGAAACAGACAAGGCCGAGTCAGCGTGAGGATCAGCGTCTCCCCGCAGAGCCGTTCCCTGTCTGGCCCTGCCAGTCCCGGGGGCAGGAGGCAGAGGAGGTGCCCACTCTGCCAGGCCTGGGACTGTCCTGCCCCTGCCCTGGTGCGTGCTCCCTCCTCCCAGGGGCCCTCGCGCCTGCAGAGTGGTGTTGGCCCTCCCAGGTACACCGTTCTCCACGTCTGTTCTGTCCCATGTCCTCCCGAACCAAGGGGCCCGGGGACGGTGGGTCGGTGAACAGACGGCAGAGGTTTCGGCGGCTGGGAGGGCCTCAACACCGCCTGGTGGGTGCAGCCCCGCAGGGCCCGGGAGCCCGCACCTGGCGCCTGTACGCCTTCCACCGGGCCTGCAGGATGCTGGCAGCCGCGTGTCTCCGCTGCTCCGAGCAGGCGCAGGGCGGGGCCGGGCTGTCCTCGCTGGCGCCAGGCTCCGGGTCCTGTTGAGGGGGACTGCCCGCGGGCCGGGGCTCCTCCGGGGCCTGCAGGGAGCCAGGGTGAGGGGTCACTGGCCCCGATAGCCTGTGCGGTGTGGGGAGGTTTGTGCCCGCATGCGCCGTGGACGCTCCGGAGCCTGTGCCCGCACGCCCAGGGGACGCTCTGGAGCCTGTGCCCGCACGCCCCGTGGATGCTCCGGAGCCTGTGCCCGCACGCCCAGGGGGCGCTCCAGAGCCTGTGCCCAGGGGACGCTCCGGAGCCTGTGCCCGCACGCCCAGGGGGCGCTCCAGAGCCTGTGCCCAGGGGACGCTCCGGAGCCTGTGCCCGCACGCCCAGGGGACGCTCCGGAGTCTGTGCCCAGGGGACGCTCCGGAGCCTGTGCCCAGGGGACGCTCCGGAGCCTGTGCCCGCACGCCCAGGGGACGCTCCGGAGCCTGTGCCAGCACGCCCAGGGGACGCTCGGAAGGTCTTTGCTGCCTGGCCCTCGGGGGTGCTCTCCGGGATGGCAGCCGGTGGCTTTACACAGGCCAGAACACCTGCTGCCCGGCCCTCGGTCTGTGGCTGACACTGTCCGGGAGGCAGCCGGTGGTTACACAGGCCAGAACGCCTGCTGCCCGGCCCTCGGTCTGTGGCTGATGCTGGTACAAGCGTGGGCCTTCGGGCGAGGGCAGGCTCCTAGCCGGCTTTGAAGGAGAGAAGCAAGAACGGCTCGGTGACGGTCAGTGAGCCTGAGTGGTGCCAGGGGGTCCACACGCATGGCCCACAGGACACCGCTCCAGAGCCGCCACTGCACCACGTCCTCACCCGGGGCTTGTGGGGACACGGGGCCGTACCTCGGGGGTCCCCTCCGCGGGGCCGACTTCCTCTTCCTCCTTGGCTGCCTCCAGCTCCTGACACCTCCTGGCCAGCGCTTCCATCTCCTCTCTGTGTGGGGGACAGGGACGCCGGCTGCGTCACCGATGCGCAGCGTCCGCGTGACACCCGGCGGCAGACGGTGGTGTGGGCCCAGCCGCCTCGCGGCTCCCGCACGGGCACGTGTCGTCCCGTTGGCGGCAGCGCCGTGCGGCCGGCACCCCAGCATCACTCCGGCAGCGAGAACGGGAGGCTGACAGTGCGAGCGGGTGCCTGGCGGGCGGAAGCCACGCGGCTCAGTGGCTAAGGGAGCGCAAGCCTCTGCTGGACCCGCCCCTGGCCCGCCCCGCGCACCACAGCCTGGCCTTTCTCCTGAGAACAAGCATCACTTCGGTTCTGGCGGCGGGGCCGGGGGAGGCGGCGGGGCCGGGGGAGGCGGCGGGGCCGGGGGAGGCGGCGGAGGGAGTGGGGGGGAGGCCCGGCCCCTGGGGTAAGGACTGGTAGGAGTGAGCTGTCCCTGGAGCCGCTCCCGCTTCCGCATCTCCCGCCCCTAGAGCTGGAAGGAAGTGCTGTCCTGGTGTATGTTTAAGAACACACTTTTGTGAAAGTGAAGTTTGTTTCAGAAGCCTGTCTTAGTGATCACTCTGAGCTCAGATCCCTGCTCGGCCTCCTGGGGGGTTCTCACTGGTGTAAAAGCCGCTATTTCAGAGCGCACGGCGGTGCCCAGGACACTCACGGTGCCGGGGAGCCGAGCCCCGCACCCCCATGCCCCGGCCTCGCCCTGCAACCACTGCCCCCTCCCTGCCTGCCCGGCCTGCTCTGGACGTGCCAGGTCCTCGGCGGCCTGCCTGCCTGATGCTCCGCGGACACCCATCCATGCGTGGCCCATCCATGCGTGGTGCGTGTCCCATCCATGCGTGGTGCGTGTCCGACCGTGTCCCTCTCGTTCCCTGGCAGGACACACTCCGTTTTCTCTATCCACCCACCATGGACATTGGGTGGACCAGAGGCACGTCCCAGGAGGCCGGACGGGCGCGGGGTGTGAGGGTGGGTGGAGGTGCCGGGCCGCTGGCTCCTGGCCGGCCCGGAGCGGCCATGCCACTGGCTCCTGGCGCGCTCACCTCAGAGCCGCCTCCCGCACTCGCCTCTCCTCCTCTCCTCGCCGCAGCTCCCCCAGCTCCGCCTCCAGGTCGGCCTTGGCCTGGAGCAGCTGCCTCACCTCCAGGCTGCAGAGAACAGACGTGAGGGTCAGCCCCCAGCGGCCAGCACTGCAGGGGGCTCAGCCAGCAGCCCCTCCCGTCCTCACGATAGAGGGCGAGGCAGAGCCAGGACGGGCGAGCCCACGCCACATGCCACCAAACGCCACCGCCGCCAGCGAGAGCAGAGGCAGGGACAGTGGTGAGCAGCCCTGCTCTGCCGTCCTGGGGAGGGCCCCCAGGCGCCATGCCCTCGTGGCCATTCCCGTCCACAGGAGGCCTCAGCCGGGAGCCCGGCCGCACACGTGGCAGTGGGCAGAGCGCACACAGCAGGCTCCGGGAGCAGCTGCTGCCACGTGAGGCTCAGGGGCCGTCACAGACGCCTCTGCCCCCCAGCCTCGCCGCTCGCTCCCCGACACACCGCCGTCAGGAGGAGCCACCACCTCGCTCCTGGATGCACTCAGGCTTCCCTGCCGGGGCGCGGCTCCGCTGTCAGACGCAGCGGGCACTCAGCCACGGGGCAGCAGGAGTCCTCCGGCCTGGATGTGCACAGGGCACCAGGGTCTCAGCGGGCACCGTCAGACTGCCCTGGTGGGCGGGGCCGAGGCGCGGGGTGCTGGCCCCGCCACTGAGCAGCAGTCTGAGATGCGGTCTCGGAAGCCGCTCGGCTCCGTTCCCCTCGCAGGCCGGGCCATAGAACTCGGCTCTCTACCCGTCAGGCAGGTGTCGGACACGGAGGGAGCCTGTGGGCCTCTGCACAGGACTGGAGGAGAGTGGACGTCCTCCCAGCTCAGTGAGGGGCCTGAGGCTGCCTCTCAGTGACGCAGTGTGGCCAATGCCCGCCCCCCCACCACTCCTGCGGCCTGCACTTCGCAGCCTGAACCCTACAAGCACCTGCGGGCTGCAGAGCCGAGCCCCCGGTCCGTGAGGGTGTAAGCCTGGGAGGACACAGCCCAGCGGAGGCTGCTCGGGAGAGACACGTACTCTCTGTCCTGCAGCTGGGCCTGCAGGGCCTTCCGCTCGCCCTTGAGGCTCCGCAGGGCGCCGCGGAGACGCTCGCCGTCGTCCTGGCGCCCGCCGTCCTCCGGGGGCTCAGGGCCCGGCTGCTGGTGCCCCCACGTGCCGGACGCGGAGAGCGCCAGGGGGTCCGGCCAGACCCCGTCTGGGGTCTGCGGTTTGGAGCTTTCCATCGAACTGATCTTCTGGGGGAAACACAGGCTTTGTTAGACCTTATCCTGGCGACCGCCGCTCCCCTCCCCGATCCATCGGCCGGAAAAGCCTCCCTGGTCCTTTTCTCCCCGACAAGCTCGGTTTAAAACCCAGATCATAGAGTTGTACGTGTCGCTTCTAAACACATGAAGTTACAGGGTCACTTGGCTCTGAGCCCCCTCCGGCTGCTCGGGCGCCACGTCAGTGTGACCTCGGCGTGCAGGAGGCGTGCATGTGGCCGGGCACGTCCGTGAGCGCAGGCAGCACACGCACTGAGGAAACCACCGCGATGCGTGGGCAGCGGGAGCCACACGGGCCAGGGCGGCGGCTCTCTGAGGTGCTGGGCCCTCTGCACCCACCATGCCCGGCCCGCGCCCTCTGGCCTGCGCCCATCTGCAGTCAGCCATGCTCAGGGCCACGCTCGGTCCCCGCGTCCAGGAGCAAAGCCCTGCCTGTCCCACCTCCACCCCACAAGGCGGCCCTGACCAGCAGGGAGCGTGCTGGGTGGGCGCTCACCTTCTCCAGCTCCGCGATCCGGCGCAGCAGCCGGGACTTGCTCCACTCCGCACACCCTGGCGGAGGCACAGCATTCAGGACACTGGGCCTGCAGCCACCCATCCTCGCCCGGCACCGCCCCGGGCCCGTGAGGCGGCAGAGTCCTGCTCCAAGGGGCTTCTCCGCAGTGGGGAATCTGCCCCCGCTGTGGAGTCCCGGCACCCGGCGCCTAGGCCTCAGGCGACCCGGGTCTGCCCCGTCAGTCAGGCTCTTCAAGGCCATGGTCCCCTCTGTGCCAGCCCACAGCCCCCCCTCCGCAGCCTCTCCTGGTCTCCGCTCGCTCCTGGCCCCTCTGCTCACTCACAGGTGCTGATGTCGCCCGGCCACCTGCTCCGATGGCCACCAGGCCTTGGTCCGCCAAAGCCTCGGCCCTGACCTCCCTCACCGCCCCCAAACCTGCACCTCCCCGCCCTCATCCCGCCTGCCCACCTGACCTGCTGGCTCCTCCCTCCCTGGCACCATGTCACCCAGGCCGGAGCCAGGCACGGCAGGTGCTCGTTAAGTCCGGGCCCATCGGCTGGCTGCCCATTGGCAGGTGCCTGCCCCGGCGGCCTGGCGGGGTGGGGGAGGGAGTACCCTTGGTCCGGGCGACGGTGGGCGAGCTGCTGAGCACGCGGTCCAGGTCCTCCTTGAGGCTCTGGTTCTCCTCGGTGAGCTCCTGCACGCTGCGCGACAGGCTCAGCAGCGCGCCGCTCAGCTTCCTCTGCCGCCGCAGGCCGGCCTTCCGCTCCATCACGGGCCTGCGGGCTGCACCGCTCAGGCCCTCGGACACGCACTCCGACCCCGTCAGCCCACAGGGCTCCGTCCCCGCACCAGCACCGCGGTGGAGGCCCAGCTGCGGACCCTGGTGCAGCACCCCCTCCCTCCAGCCCAGAGTGGCCTCAGCCTCCCAGGCTCCACGCGCCGTCCACAGGGGCCTGGTCAGCACGGACACGCCGGGTCGGACAGGCGCTGCCGGAGCCTCAGCTCGGTCACGGAGTGTCACCGGCACCTGTCTGACCGCCGCGCCCTGTGCCATGCCCCCAGCACCCTGGCGCCAGGAAGCTGTGCCGGCCGCCTGGGGGCAGTGGGAGGAGTGGTCAGTGACTGCACAGGCCATGCTGTTGGCAGGGAGCAGGGCGCGGGGGGCACCGCGGTGACCGCGGCGAAGGGGCCCCGGCAGGAGTGCGTGTCACACGAGGTGTCGTACTTGCGTCCCGGCGTCTCCGAGTTCGCCAGCAGCATCTGGAGGCGGTGGATCTGGGCACAGAGAGAGGCACTGAGCCCAGCGCCACGGACGCCTCCCGGAGCGCAGTCACAGGCCCGCCTGCCGTGCCAGAGGGAGGCGCCGTGCCTGGCCATGTTCGCGTGGCGGGGGCGGGGTCCCCACTGTGCCACGTGGCCACCCTCCCTCTCCACCAGCCCACGCTGCCGCCAAGGACACCCACCTCCTCGTAGTACGTGTCCATGACAACCCGCATCTCCTCCAGGCTGGTGGTCTTCATGTCCGTCTGCAGCTTGCTGAAACCAAGTCCCGCGTGAGCAGCCGCCCCGGCAGACGGCCGGCCGGGCCTCGGAGAGGGCGGCCACTGCTCAGCCGGGCCCTCCCGCGCCCGCTGCTCCCAGGAAGGGGACAGGCGCCCTGACACGTGTCACTAGAGCAAGCTGTCCTTGGGTGGGGCCTCAGGAGGGGGTGGGCGTCGGGGGCAGAGTGTAACAGGACAGAGCAGTGCTCTCTCCGTCCGTCCGGCCAGCATCTCCCTTCCCAGCTGACGGACAGGGAGCGGCACCCAGAGGCGGGGAGAGCAGGCCCCTGCCCGGGGCTGGCACGGGACCGTCACAGCAGAGACGAGAGGGAGCCGCGGCACAGCAGAGCAGAGCCCGAGCGCCGAGCCAATGGCACGGCGGAGGGCTCCCGCCCCGCCTCCCGCGGCGGGGGCAGGGGAGGGGGCGGCCTGGGACAAGCCACGCTTCAGGGCTTCTTGTGTCAAGACCCTCAGGTCCTGCTGCAGGAGAGTGAGCACAGCGGCCAGAGGTTTCAATGTGGCAGCACCGGAAAGGCAAGGGCACCCAGCTCCCTACTGACACCTGCAGGAGACGGCTAGTACTCACTCTCCTTTTCTGGGGGAAGACAAAGCTGGACCAGACCTGGACCAGAGGGGGACCTGGGGCAGAGGGGGACCTGGGGCAGAGGGACCTGGGGCAGAGGGGGACCTGGACCAGAGAGGGACCTGGGCCAGAGGGGTGGGCGGGAAGTCAAGCTGCAGCTGAGAACCTGGAGCCAATGCCAGAGTGAATGAGGCAGCAGGCTCCCCCTCCTCCCCCCCCCCCCGCCCCGTGGCAGCCCCAGGTGGTGCAGGCCGGCCCGCCTGCGCCCCCTCTCCCGCACCTGATGGTGCTGTCCTTGTCCTTGCACTGCTGCTCCAGCCGCAGGACCCTCTGCTTCAGCCCGTTGATGACCTGCAGCAGAGCCCAGGCCTGAGGCTGATGCGCCCTCCTCTGAGCCCGCCTGCCCCGGGGACCGGTCTGTGCACTGCCCACACCCGCCGCCCTTCGCCGTCCCTCGGCGTGCCACGGGCATTAGCAATGTGTGTGGGGGAGGTTCTGCTCGGCTCCGGCTCTGAACCAGGTGCCGGCGGCACACACTTGCTTAGTGGGGGAGGCCCCGTGACCGCGTCTCCTTCAGAGGAGCCCTCCCCCGCCCGGCCCCGCCAGGCCCTCAGCGGCGTCGGGGGCCGGGCTCGGGTGGGGGCGGGGGGGGCTCAGGAAGCTCCGAGCCCTCGGCTGCAGTCGCTTCGCCCACGGCGCGCTGGAGCGAAGGGCCTCTCAGCGTACAGAGCGGACACGCACCCAGCCGGCATCAGGTCTCCTCTCCCCCAGTGTCCACACGGAGTCCGGGCCCTGTGGGCAGGGAGGCGTGAGGGCAGCGGGCGGCCAGCGCCCGCCACGCCTCTGGCCCGGCACGCCCGCGGCGGGCACTCACCCGGGCCGGGTCCAGCAGCTGCTCGATCTGCCGGTCCTTCCGGCTGTTCTCCTCCTCCAGGCGCCGGAGCTTTGTCCTCAGCAGGTCCGCGTCGCTTCTCTGAATGTGCAGTGACTGGGGAGGGAAAGGCAGCATGGGGCACACACCGCGCACACACGGTGCACACGCACAGCACACACACACCCCTTCCACACACCTTACACACACCACACACCGCGCACACACCATACACCTGTACACACCTTACACACACCACACACCGCGCACACACCATACACCTGTACACACCTGTACACACACCACACACCGCGCACACACACCATACACCTTCCACACACCTGTACACACACCACACACCGTGCACACACACCATACACCTGTACACACCTGCACACACCACACACCGTGCACACACACCATACACCTGTACACACCTGTACACACACCACACACCGCGCACACACACCATACACCTGTACACACCTGTACACACACCACACACCGTGCACACACACCATACACCTGTACACACCTGTACACACACCACACACCGCGCACACACACCATACACCTGTACACACCTGTACACACACCACACACCGTGCACACACCACACACCTTCTACACACCTTACACACACCATACACCGCGCACACACACCATACACCTTCCACACACCTGTACACACACCACACACCGCGCACACACATCATACACCTGTACACACCTGTACACACACCACACACCGTGCACACACACCATACACCTGTACACACCTGTACACACACCACACACCGCGCACACACACCATACACCTGTACACACCTGTACACACACCACACACCGTGCACACACCACACACCTTCTACACACCTTACACACACCATACACCGCGCACACACACCATACACCTTCCACACACCTGTACACACACCACACACCGTGCACACACACCATACACCTGTACACACCTGTACACACACCACACACCGTGCACACACACCATACACCTTCCACACACCTGTACACACACCACACACCGTGCACACACACCATACACCTGTACACACCTGTACACACACCACACACCGTGCACACACACCATATACCTTCTACACACCAGTACACACACCATACACCGTGCACACACACCACACACCGCGCACACACACCATACACCTGTACACACCTGTACACACACCACACACCGCGCACACACACCATACACCTTCCACACACCTGTACACACACCACACACCGCGCACACACATCATACACCTGTACACACCTGTACACACACCGCGCACACACACCATACACCTGTACACACCTGTACACACACCACACACCGCGCACACACACCATACACCTGTACACACCTGTACACACACCACACACCGCGCACACACACACACACCTTCCACACACCTGTACACACACCACACACCGCGCACACACACCATACACCTTCCACACACCTGTACACACACCACACACCGTGCACACACACCATACACCTTCCACACACCTGTACACACACCACACACCGTGCACACACCACACACCTTCTACACACCTTACACACACCATACACTGCGCACACACACCATACACCTTCCACACACCTGTACACACACCACACACCGTGCACACACCACACACCTTCTACACACCTTACACACACCATACACCGCGCACACACACCATACTCCTTCCACACACCTATACACACACCACACACCGTGCACACACACCATACACTTTCTACACACCAGTACACACACCATACACCATGCACACACACCATACACCGTGCACACACACCATACACCTTCTACACATCAGTACACACACTATACACCGTGCACACACACCACACACCATGTACACACACCATACACCATGCACACACACCGGTGCATCTTCCACACACCTGTACACACACCACACACTGTGCACACACACCACACACCATGTACACATACCATACACCGTGCACACACACCGGTGCATCTTCCACACACCTGTACACACACCATACACTGTGCACACACACCACACAACATGTACACACACCATACACCGTGCACACATCATGAGCATACACCATGTACACACACCCTACACCACGTACACACACAGCACATACACACACCACACTGTGTACACACACTGCACACTGTGTACATACACAGGCACACAATGTGCACACACCCCACACTTCGTGCACACACACTACACATACCACACACGCACATCATGCACAAAGGGTGCACATATACACCAGGTTCACACACAGACATATATCACACACACACCAGCACATACTATGCATCCACACTCACACTCCACACATACAACTTGCATGCACACTGGCATGCACACTATGAGCTTATGCACCAGCTTACACATTGCGTGCATACAGACAGCGGAGGCACCCAGTTCACCGTGCCTGGCTCCTCTCGATATGCAGCACGCACACAGCTCGGTGGGCGGAGGAGGGGGTCACAGTAATGAGACTGAGGGCACCACCGACCAGAGGGCAAGTGCCGGGAGGGGGGGGAGAGCCACCACACACAACCAGGAACTCTCCCACCCATAGGCTGTGGGCACAAGGTCATGCGTTCTTTCCATGTGCACATGAGGAAGCACCCTCTCCCTCCGGGGGACCCTCAGTGCACACCCCATGGAGGGGCCAGCAGGCAGCCCATGCGGCGTGTCCAGCGGGTCAGCCAGGCAATGCGGGATCACGGGGAAAGGTAAGGGAGCAGCAGTGGGATCTGCTTCCGGAAACAGGAAGCACGCGCGTCCCTGTGCCTCCTGCCGGCGCAGCTCTGGGCGTGTGGGAGAAGACCGGTGAGCTGGGGAAGCTGGCCTGGCCCAGCAAATGGCACCAGCAAGAACAGCCTGCTCTAACGGGGGTGAGAGAGTGGGTGGGGAGGGGGAGGAGCCTGAGGGACAAGGACTCCCCTGCCAGCTAAGGGGAGTGCGGCTGCAGCCGGTGCCGCCGTCCGCCTGGGGGGAAGGGGGAGGTCAGAGGCGGCTCATGGAGGGTCAGGACTTTCCATCATCCAGGGGCAATGAGGCCACACACACACCAAACATGATGGAAGACTTAAATCTTAACATGTCAACAATGTAAGTGACCTAAACAGGCCAATGAGGGGAGAAACCAAGATGGCGGCATAAGTAAACACCTAAATTGCTGCCTCACACAACCATTTAAAAAATATAACTTAAAGACAAAACAGACATCATCCAGACGGGAAGACTGAATGACTGGAAATTCTACAACTGGAAGGAAAGAGAAAACCACAAGGAAAATCAGAGGAGCTGTGAAAACCTGAGGTACGGACATGGGCACGTGTGTGCGGAGAGGACAGAGCCGAAGAGGATGGGGCAGCTGAGTGTCTGGCTTCTGGCTGCCGTTCTCTAGCAGGAAGGAGATAAAAGCTCTGGACTGCACTGAACCCCAGTTCTGACTGCACTGAACTCCGATTTTGAGCGAGACCAGGCTTATACGAGGGGCGGGGGGTTGGGGGGAGGGAATCTGGACTGTAAGGCGGAAACTCAGGGGAGCTGTGAAAGGCAGAGCTCCAAGGCCTGCACGTGAATGCACGCAGAGGATGGACTGTTGACTGTGCCGCTGGATTGCACACTAACTGGCATGCACACACTGAGCATATGCACTGGCTCACACATCAGGTGAGCTCCAGACTGTGCTGAACCCCAGTTCCGACTGCACTGAACCCCAATTCTGGGCAAGAATCTGGGAATCCAGATTCATTGGGGGAGAGACTAGACTGTCTGGCAGCGGGCGAAACTCGAGGGCGTCTTTCCCTCAGAGGTGCTCGCAGCGAGTACCGAGGGACACTGACACCCAGGAACCTCATAGGGCGGAGCTGATGGGAAGCCAAGGCTGTAGGCTCCACCCTAAAACTCCGCCCCATCCAAGCTGAGCACAGAGGCTTTTGCAATTTTCCAAGTCTAGTCGAATAATGCTGTCTCTGGCATAGACACAGCTGATCCTCACAGCCAATTGGCCTGGAGGTCAGTTCCTCCCAGTGATACCAAAAACAGAGACTTAACTACAACAAGGCTGTACACACAGTCCACAAAGGGGTGCACCAAGAGTGTCCACCTCAGGTAACTGAGGAGGCTGAGCCACTGGCCCATACAGGACACCTAGCACACAAAGCCACCCTACCAACTCAGGGAAGCAGTGAAAATGTAGAGACAAAGAAACAAATCACAAACAAAAGAATGGAGGAAAACAAACAACTGAAGATAGAGTTCAAAACCACGGTTATAAGTTTTTCAAGAATTTCCTAAAGAAGGCTGATAAATTTAGCGAGACCCTCGAGGATATGAGAGAGACCCTCGAGGATATGGAAAAGGACCAACTAGAAATTAAACATACACTGACTGAAGTAAAAAAAATTATACAGACACCCAACAGTAAACTTGAGGAACGCAAGAATCAAGTCAAAGATTTGAAATACAAAGAAGCAAAAATTACTCAACCAGAAAAGCTAAAAGAAAAAAGAATCCAAAAATTTGAAGATAGTGTAAGAAGCCTCTGGAACAACTTTAAGCGTACCAACATCAGAATTATGGGGGTGCCAGAAGAAGAGAGCGAGCAGGATATTGAAGACCTATTGAAAGAAATAATGACTAAAAACTTCCCCCACCTAGTGAAAGAAATAGTCAGGTCCAGGAAGCACAGAGAACCCCAAACAAAAGAAATCCAAAGAGGACCACACCAAGACATATCATAATTAAAATAGTAAGAACAAAAAACAAAGAGAGAATCTTAAAAGTAGCAAGAGAAAAACAGTTAATTACCTACAAAGGAGCACCCATATGATTGTCAGCTGATTTCTCAACAGAAACTATGCAGGTCAGATGGGAGTGGCAAGAAATATTCAAAGTGATGAATAGCAAGAACCTACAACCAAGAGTACTCTACCCAGCCAAGCTGACATTCAGAATTGAAGGTCAGCTAAAGAGCTTCACAGATAAGAAAGAGCTAAAGGAGTTCATCAATACCAAATCAATATTATATAAAATGCTGAAAGGAATTCTTTAAGAAGAGGAAGAAGGAGAAAAAGGTAAAGATAAAAATTATGAAAAACAAATACATATCTATCAACAAGTGAATTTAAAAATCAAGTGAATTAAATATCTGATTAACAGAATAAATTGGTGAATATAATAGAAATAGTGGCATAGAAAGAGAGTGGATTGACAATTCTCAGGGAAAGGTGGGTGGGAGTACGGGAAGAGATTGGACAAAAATCGTACACCCATCGATGAGGACAGTGGGGGGTGAGGTAAGGGCAGAGGGTGGGATGGGAACCAGGTGGCGGGGAGCTAGGGGGGAAAAAAGAGGAACAATTGTAATAATCTGAACAATAAAGATTTATTGTTTAAAATAAGTAAATAAACAAACAAATAGGCCAATGAGAAGACAGAGACTGGCCAAGCAGTTCACAAACCTGATGCACTCACGTGCTGCCACAGAAACTCCTTTAAACTAACGAGACGGGCCGGTCCAAACAAATGGCGGAGAAGAGATGCCGTTAGAACGTTAAGTGAGAGGAGCTGGCCCAGGCCGGGCTCAGCGGATTGGAGACAGACCACCGACCTCTCTGAGTCTCAAGGTTGCTGCCAACAACAGCTGTGAGCTGTGGGAGCGGCTGAGCATGTGGGAAACGCCCGTTAGCACTAGAGAAACACACACACGGGAGGCGACCTTGTTAACACACGAGAGGCGACCCCGTTAACACACCGAACCTGGCATCGCAGGCCGGTCTCAGGGCATAGGCCTCTGCAGGTCCCGCCTCCCGGTGCGCAGAGCCCGGGCAGACACGGCGGTGAGGGCCTGTCCTCCACCAGGGTCACCAGCCCGGGCCCAGTGGGATCAAGCTCACGCTCTCTCAATGCCAGGCCCGGCACAGACCCCGTTCCCGTCATGGCTGGGAAGGCGTTCACTGTGGAAGCCACCAGGAGCAGGTAGACACTCTACCTTCTTCAAGTCCATGATCTCGTCATACATGTCCTCCTTTTCTCTATAGACCGGCGTCCCCGGGGAGTGACCTGGAGGAAACACAGCCGCTGAAAGACCTGGAGAGGAGGAAGCCTCTTGGCCACGTCTGCGGAAAACCTGGGAGCTAAGAAAGCTATCCTTAAAGATGAGGAGCAGGAATCTTCCATGCTTTAGTCCTACTCGCTTGTGTCCCCAGAGGAGTGAGATGGCCATGTGAGTAGGAGCCGCAGAGCACAGGGCTGGGGCGCAGTTGGCGGAGAAGGGACACGTGTACCTGTAAACAGCCAAAGCCGCCCCAGGGCTCCAAGCCACTGGCACCTCCACACGGGCCTCAGGCGGTGCAGGGAGGGCTCCCGGGCGCGGGGACAGGAGGGAGAGGCCCGACAGGAGGCAGCGCCGTGAGAACAGCCCCTCGCTGTGAGGCCCGGCTTCTCCCGTATCTGCAGGCCCACCCTGCACTGCTCCTGCAGCTGTCGCCCTGAGACTGTGCAGAGGTGGGAACAGGGAGGCCTCCGAGAGGAGAGCCGGTGTGGCTGCTGCCTCTCCCACGGCACTCGCGTGCTCATGGCCCACGTCCACTGCCGTCTGCACAGACCCAGGTCAGCGTCACCACGGGGGCCGTCCCCAGCCATGCTGCTTCTAAAAGCCAGGAGGCTGGACGTCTAAGATCCAGGTCATCTTCCGGACAAGTCACATTAACCCTCACACCGCCCGCCATGCTTCACGCCCGAGCCGCAGGGGGCTGCCGGCACCACGGACCTTGCTTGGCACCTCCCAGCCACAGCCTCTGCGGCGTCAGCGCCGTCCTGCTCCCCAGGGGCATGCTCCCTGCCGTCCGCAGGGGCCGCCCGCAGGCCGGGGTCCTCGGCTTGCAGTAGTACGGCGACTCTGGAAGCAGCGTGGGATCAGGGTGGTGCTCCCGGCCTCCAGCCTCCCCGCGCTCCTCCCAGATGCTGAGCCCGAGCGGAGAAAGCCAGCCGGGCCCAGGACAGGGGCGGGAAGGCTAGGAGGCTCCAAGGCTCGGCGACTGCTCAGGAGCTGCTGGGCTGCCCCCTCCACCCCCGGACCACGGGGCGGGCCCCAGGAGTGGGTGCGCCCCATTTCCAAACACAAACGAGGCCCAGTGGCCAGAGCGCGTAGCTCAACGACCCTCCGTGTGCAAAGCTCAGGGTCTCCCTCCCAGGCCCTGGCACGCCCCGCCCCAGCAGCCACCTCCCAGGCCACCCGCGTACTTACTGGGCGAGGTGGGTGGAGGTTTGTGGGCACTTTTCCTCTTTGTTTTCTGGAAGGAAGGAGAGCCAGAGCAGCAGGTGAGCCCTCGCCAGCCTACCAGCCACGCCCTGGCCGCTCAGGGTGGTGTGAGGGCAGCACAGGGAGACCGCCCTGCAGGCTGTCAGACCAAGGCCCTCCTGTCAGACCATCGCCCTCCCTCAGACCACGGCCCTCCCATGAGACAACGCCCACAGGCTCAGGGGTGGCCCGAACCTGGGACCCACAGGCTCAGGGGTGGCCCGAACCCAGGGCCCACAGGCTCAGAGGATACCCCATACTCAGGGCCCACGTGGCACTAGGGGTACCCCGCACCCGGGGCCCACATGGTTCAGGGGGTGCCACCAAACCCTGGGGCTACAGGTGAGCAGTGTCCCCGAGGTCTGGTGGCTCCAGTCCCGTCACAGGTTGGGGGCTGTGGGGCCTTAAGTTCAGCTGGAAAGGCTGCGCAAATGGCGGACCGGCCCACCCAAGAGTCCTCAGGCCTGGATGTGACTGTCCCCAGGGTGGGCGCAGGCAGCTGAGACTTCCTGACCAGCAGAGGAAGCGTGTCTGGAGAGCCGGTGGGGACGCAGAGCTGTGCCCCGGGCTGCCCGCCTCGGACCCTGTGGCCGGGGAGGGCACCTCGGCCCATGTCCTCAGGCTTCCCCAAAGGGGCCCCTCGGTTGGCCTCGGCGGAGGCACCAGGTCTGTCCCAGGAGCTGGGCCTCAGCTGGGACTGCTGGGCCTGTCCCTCGGCAGGGCTGGGGACAGTTCTTCACCCTGCAAGGGCCCTCCCTCAGACCACGGCCCTCCCTCAGACCTCGGCCCTCCCTCAGACCACGGCCCTCCCTCAGACCACGGCCCTCCCTCAGACCACGGCCCTCCCGTGAGACAACACCCACAGAACTGGGGCATGAGCTGCAGGGGTCCACTCCATGGGGCAGCGGTCTGGCTGGAATACCTGGCGCCAGCGGTTCCCTCTCCCACCAGCGCAGGGAGCCGCTCCATCCTTCAGACAACCCTGGGCCGAGGGGCCGCAGCTGCCCTCAGGCCAGACCTGCCCGCCTGCTGTCTACGCTTCCTGGGCGGACCGGCCAGGACCCCGCCGTGCGGCTCAGAGCATCCTTTCCCGCACCGCTGCCCTGACCTCACCGAGCCCTGCCCCTCCCTCACGTGTCAGAATTGGGGGTCTGGGGGGGGGGGGCAAGGCCCAAACCAGAAGCAGATGCGAACCTGCCCACCGCTCAGGACTGACTTCTGAAAACAAGCTTGAAATTTACCACCTCAGTTACTCAACGAAAGACCCGCCACTTTTCAAAGGCACCGGAATCCGTGTTCGGGTCTACCCGCCGCCGTGGGGGGGTGCCCGCTGCACACGCGTGAGGAGTGTGCGGAGGGAAGTCACCGCACGGGACACGCGGGCCTCCCATCCCACTCACCGTCTCGCAGTCGGAGTCGAAGGTAACCGCAGACAGACTGTCATCTCCCTGCGGGAAGAGAGACCTGGAACCTCGAGGCCCTGGCCTGGCCCCGCAGCCCCCCAATGTGCTGAGGCTGGAATCCCACACCCGTCCAGGAGAGCGGCCAGCAGGCTGCCGGGCCGTGCTAGGAGGGCCGGGCAGGGACACCAAGCAAGAACACCTCCATCCCTCAGCCCAGCAGGCATGTCTGCGTCACTGGACACTTCCAATCAAGACCCGGTTCCTGTGGGATGTGCTTCTTTCCTGTCCCACGCATGTAACATTCTCTCGCTCACCTTCCATCGGCTCCAGGACCCGTGACGTCTCCCGGGGAGAGCACGCGTCCCTGAGGGTGGAGGGCGAACCACGGCCCCTGGTCCCTGCCCCACGGTGGCCACAGACGCCACGCCACCCCCCCGTGCCCGCCATGGTGAAGGGTAAACCTGGCTCGTCTAGGGCCTCAACAGCCTCTGACCAACAAGGAGCTCCTGCTGACCCGAGAGGGTCCCCTAGGAGATTAGGCCAAAAGCCTGAAACCCCATCCCTGTTCCTGGTGTGGCTCTTAAGTCACGTGGTCATGCCCAGGCTCCACGGCTCCCTGGGGCCTGCGAGTGGGCCTGTCGCCGCCCGGGAGGTGAGGGCCCAGGTGGTGAGCGCTGGGAAGAGACCAGCCAGCCGGGAGCTGGGCGCTGAGGAGCGCGGGGACGGGGCCTGGACAGCCTGCCCGCGGAGGCCCGTCTGGGGACAGAGCCCGGCTCAGCGGAGAAACTACAGCCCGCCTGTGCCCTCAGAGCCTGGGGCTTAACAAACGCTTCTAACAGCAAACAACAAAAGGGAGCAAGAGCAGGGAAATCATCCATGAAACAGGGGTAGCCATAGGCTCCAATACTTAAAATCATGCTTTTGAGCCCTGGCTGCTTTGGCTCAGTGGGGAGAGCGTCGTCGGACTGTGGACCGAAGGGTCCCGGGTTCGATTCTGGTCAATAGCACACACCTCGGTTGCAGGCTCAATCCCTGGCCCTGATTTGGACTCTTGCAGGAGGCAACCAATCAATGTGTTTCTCTCACATCGATGTTTCTCTCCGTCTTTCCCCCTCTCTTCCATTCTCTCTAAAAATCAATGGATACATATCCTTGGATGAGGATTAAAAAAAGAAAAAGAAAAGACTGAAGCTGATTCACAGATCTCGTGACAAAGAACAGGCAAAGTTATTAAGCAGTGATAAATTATTATTTAAAAAATAAATGAAATCATGTTCTTGAAAAAATGTGGCTATGGGAAACGGCAAACAACAAACTAAGTGGCAAAGGTTACAAAACAGCATAAATCTCTCAGTTTTTAAAACTACAGCCTGGAGCCACTGCAGCTCAGGACCTGGCCCTGGGTGCCTGCACCCTCAGAGCACCTGCTCCTGACCCCCCGCAGCCTGACCCCCGGCAGCCTGACCCCGCAGCCTGACCCCCCGCAGCCTGACCCCCGCAGCCTGACCTCCCGCAGCCTGACCCCCCCGCAGCCTGACCCCCGCAGCCTGCAGCTCAGGACCTGCCGGCCTGGTCCCCGCTGGAACCCCCGCTCCCAGGCAGCCTCAGGCAGCCGGCCGGAGCCCCGGCAGGCGGTGTGAGAGCCGGGTCTCCATCCCGGGAGCGGAGCGGGCGGGGCCCAGCGCTCCACGGGATGGAGGGCTCGCCGCTCGCCCCGCCGTGGCCCCAGAGGCCCGAGGCCCCGGGTGGGCGCGGGGCGGGCGGACACTCACTCCGCGAGCTCCGTCCCCCGCGGGCCGCGGTCGCGGGCTCCGCACACGCCTGCCTCCGGGCGCTGCGTCCAGGAGGGCTTCCTGCAGGCGGCGGCCTGTGCAGGGCGGGGCCGGGCGCCCTTGTGCGGCAACAATCGCGCAGCTGTCACGGCGGCCGGCGGGCGCCCTCCCGGCCCGCGCGCCCTCACCCCGCGCGCAGGAGGGAGCGAGCGCCGCCCCGGCTTACCGTCTCCGAGGCCGGGTCCCCGGTGCCCAGCGACATGGCTGCGGGCGCGGCGGGCCGGTTCCGAGGCGCCGCGGGCCGCCTGTCCGCCCGCAACCCCAAGACCCGAGCGCGCGCCCGCCGCGACCCCGCTGCCATGGCAACCGCGCGGGCCCCGGATGTGGTGCCTGGCGCGCCGGCCCGCAGTGCGCGTGCGCGGCCCCGCCCCCTACCCCTATCGCCCACCCCGCGGGCGGCCCGACCGGAAGCGCTCCCGGCGGGCGGGGCGGGGACCGGCCTCGGGGCTCTACGGTCCGTCCGCCGGCGTCGCCGTCCTCCCGCGAGAAGCCGGGAGCGGGTCGCAGGCGGGAGAGAAGCTCCGAGCGTCAGTTCCTCCCCGAGGGGCGGCAAGAGCGCCGCCTGCAGGCGCTGCGGAACACGAGCTCACAGCGAGGGGATCCCCTCGCACAGCGCCACCTAAGGGCCCCCCCGACTACCGCAGCCGGCGAAGGTTTGCACCCCCGTTTCCCACTGAGCCCCTTTCGGGGAGCCACTGGGGGCTCACACCGTGGACGGAGGGAGCCACTGCTGGCCTGCCGGCTCCGGGAGCCTGCGTGGAGGTCTTGCAAACTCAGAGACCTAAAATCGCCACAAAGGATGGTTTGAAAATGAAATATTTAACTACAAACAGGTTAGGGTGGGCAGTCATGTCCTGGGCTAGTGACAAAGATCCACTTAGATCTTTCCTGAGCCCATTTGTCTTTTTGCCTCTTAGATAAGGTGACCAGACGTCCCACTTTTGCCGTTTGCCGACAATCCGGACGTTTTTAAAACGCCGCGGGACTCGGGACAAATTGTTAACAATCGGGACTGTTACCTTACTCTATAACCTATCCCTGAGAAGTCGGGTAACTTGTAACTTCCTTTTTACCCCGGACCCCCTCAGGGCACAGCCAATGACAATTAATTATCAAGTTAACTGTCAGCTGTTAATTAGGTTAAAGCATCCTGTATCCGTCTCTGTAAGAGAAGCACCTGTCCATCTGTCACTTCTCACCCAATCCCAGAGGTCTCCTCCGCTGTTTGTCCCACCCCCTTAACCCATCACCAATGGATTTCAGGTAACTCACCCACTCCCTCTCCTGTGATTGCAATGTGTAAAGACCGATGTAACCCTCCCTTCTCCGAGCGTTCTCACCTCATTGAGGTTCTGCTTCCCGGCAGATGTCGGCTCAAATAAACTCACACAAATTCTCTACAGGTTTCAATGTTTTGTTAGGACCAGGCAGGGTGGGGTCCGAAGTGGTTCCCCCATCAAAAGGAACATGTTTAAGCCGAAACCGGTTTGGCTCAGCGGTAGAGCGTCGGTCTGCGGACTGGGGGGTCCGGGTTCGATTCCGGTCAAGGGCATGTACCTTGGTTGCGGGCACATCCCCGGTAGGGGGTGTGCAAGAGGCAGCTGGTCGGTGTTTCTCTCTCATTGACGTTTCTAGTTCTCTATCCGTCTCCCTTCCTCTCTGTAAGAAAAGTTAATAAAATATATTTTTTAAAAGGAACGTGTTTAAAGCCCCCTTTTTATTTAACCTTAATACTCAGAATCCTGCTTTCCACTTCCGTACACTGCAGACCAGGCATTTCCCCGCGGGATGCTCAAACATGGACTCTGCCCAGCGGGGCCTTGTTTACCCGCTGGCCGGAGGCCCTCGGGCGGCGGAGGGCCCGGCTGGGAGGCCAGTGACCGCGGATCTGTCTCCCGGGAGAAGACGCTCCTCTGGGGCACGCGTTCCACCCCCATTCCAAACCGGAAGTCCCCGGCCCGGGTAGGGTCCGCCCCTTCCGGGAATAGTCCCGCCCCTTCCTGGAGCCCGCCCTCCTGGCGCTCTGCCCTTCGGACGCTTTGGCACGTACCACTGAGTGCCCCGTCGGGGGGACGTTCTCGGTAGGGGCGCCCGGTTTGGCGCTGGCCTGCCTCCGACGCCCTTCACGGCGACTCTGCTCCCTCACTGGTCCTCTGGGCTCCGGAGCGGTCTCGCGGGAGCTCGTTCCCGTGCCCGCCGTCCCCGAACTCCCCCCTCCAGGCTTGGCAGGTGGCGCGGTCCGGGGCGGGGCCTGCTGGCGGGGCGGGGCCTGCGGGGCGGGGCGGGGCCTCGGCGCGGACGGACGGGAGCGGGTGAACCGGGAGGAAGGGTTGCGGTCTCCGTGCCGGCCGGCGGGATCGGGACGTCGGGCGAAGGCGGGAGCCGCCGGGCTTGTCGTGCGCGGCCCGGCTGGGTCCCCCGGTCCCTGTGGCCCTTCCTGGCTGCCCGGCCGGCGCCCGCGGCGGGTCCACGGGCCTCAGGCTGACTCCGGCCGCGGAGGGCTGTTCTGCAGGGACCCAGCCGCTCCGGTGGGACGGACTCCCGGAGACGGACACCCCGGCCCGGGCGGACCTCCTGACCCCGACAGAGCCGCCGGCCACCCTGCCCACGCCCGCCGCAGGCCCTCCTGACCCCGGCCTGCTAGGGTTACGTATCGCCCTCGGGTGCGTGTTACCGCGTGCACACGGGGCCCCCCGCCTCGCCCGGCCTCGCCCGGTCCCACACGCAGGTGCACCGCCGGCCCTGGAGGGACTGGCCGTGTGGACACCCCGCTGGCCGCCGTTTCCGGACTCAGACGCGCTGACCCCGGACTGACCCAGTCCGGACTCAGACGCACGTGAGCACGTAGCGGCCCCGACGGACCCGCACCCGGCGCTGGCCTCCCTGCAGCCCAGGTGAGCACCGGCGTCCGCGGTGGCAGCTCTGAGCTCCTAAGGCCTGGAGGTTTCCACCGACTGAGTCCCGCCCAGCCCTGCGACCAGGAGTCAGGGCAGGCTTGCTCCAGACCTCCATCCAGGCCCCCCTCACTCCCTGCCCCCCAGGCTGAGGCTTTGCGCGGGCGCCTGCATCACCCCAGGGCTGTGATCTTCGTGATCCCCGCTGCCTGGCAGTCCGGGGCTCCGAGCAGGCGTGGGGGCTGCTTGGGACTAGGGCTGGAGGGGGCTGGACTTGACATTCCTTTTGCAGGACCCCCGGCCTCATCATGGACCCCGAGTGCTCCCGGCTCCTCCCGGCTCTCTGTGCGGCCCTGGCGGACCCCGGGCAGCCCGTGGCGGACGACACCTGCCTGGAGAAGCTGCTGGACTGGTTTAAGTCCATCACCGAAGCAGGTAAGGGCGCTGGGCTTGGCTTTCCCGAGGCGCAGGGCTCCGCTGTCCTGGAGGAGGGGTCCCCATCTGGTCCGTGTCCTTCCTTCGCATCCTGAGGAGCCCCCTGGCTGCCTGGGGACACCTCGGGGTGAGGGAGAGGTCAGGGAGCCGGAGCTGCAGCTGGAAGTGCTGGGGTTCCAGCCGGATTCAGCCCCGCAGCTCGGTCTGTGCTAGGTGCCGGCCGAGGGCGCGGGCCTCCCTTTTCCTGTTCTCAGTGCATTGTTTTTTTTTCTTAAGAAGTCGGTTTTGTCTTCTCTCTGATTATGAAAGTAAAACTTATAAAAAAAAATGTTTTTTCCCCCCGTTGGTTTTTAGAGGAGATTGAAGGGAGGGAGGGGGAGAGAGAAACATCCATGTGGTTGCCTCCTGCACATGCCCAGACCGGGGCTGAGATCAAACCTGCAGCCCAGGCATTCCTAGAGCGGGAATCGAACCCGAGACCCTCCCATGCAAGGCCGACACTAACCACGGATCACACCAGCCAGGGGCGTAATACGTATTCTTTATATGAAACTTCAGCCGAATGCCTGGCTGGCGGTTCAATGGTTGAGCATCGACCAACGAACCAGGAGGTCAGGGTTCGATTCCTGGTCAGGGCACATGTCCAGGTTGTGGGCTCCATCCCCAATGTGGGGCGTGCAGGAGGCAGCTGATCAGCGATCCTCTGCAAATCAAGCCCACAACCCAGGCATGTGCCCTTCAGTCTGCAGGCCAGTGCTCTATCCGCTGAGCCACACGGGCCAGGGCTGTGGTCACATTTAAAGCATGGCTTTGAGCAGCTTTGTTGAGATGGAGTGCACAGCCAGCTCCGGGGCTTGGGGGCACTCACAGGCTCTGCAGCCATCGCACAACTTCATTGTGCAGCTTCTTTATCCCCAGAGGCCGGCCCCGTGCCTCCCCCCCCCCCCCCCTCATCTTCCCTCTGTTCCGTGTACTTGCTCCATGCCGGTTCCTCCGTCACGTGTTTGTGCTCCTGCTCACGTGGCTCGGTGGTTCCTCGGAGGCTATGGGCCCCACTTTCCCCTGGGAATCCTTTCCCTCCGTGAGCCTTGGCGTTGGAGCGAGCAGCTCCCGTGGTGCCGTCTCCTCTGGAACGGCTCTTTCCGGGTAGGATTCGCTGCTCAGCCCGCCGGCCGTGGCTCTCGCCGGCCCAAGCCGCTCCGTTAACACGCGGTTCTGCTTCGTGTGTTCCCTGTGACCTTTGAACCTGCCTTCCGTTTTTGCTCCTTTTCCTCCGGGTCCTGCCCTCCATGGGCGATAGAGCTTTCGGTCTTTTCACCCGTCTTCCGGCTTCTAAGCTGCGTGTCCCATGCCCGTTCTCAGCGGCCGCCTCCCGCGCCCATGGTGAGCGCCCGGCTAGTCAGCATCCCTCTGCACGCTGGGTCCCCCCCGCGGGGTCTCGGCAGACGGGCCCCAGTGTTTTATCTTATTTTACATCCTTCCGAAGCCCACCCCGTCCCTTAGCGCGGTGTCCGTGGGTCCCCCCCTTCTTTGCTCTGTCCATTCCTTCTCCCCGAAGCTTGGTGTCCGGGGTCCTCGCTGGGGCCTCGTGGGGACGTAGGGGAGGGCAGAGCTCGGTGCGGGGTCGGCAGGCCTGCCCGTCCTGCCCATCACGCCGTGCTTCCCGGCATCGGGCTGGCTCAGCGTGAGAGGAAAGTGTCCGCTGAGGGCAGGTGGTCCCGCTGGAACTGGCACCTGTCCCGGTCAGCGCGACCGAGCCCGGCCAGGCTGGTCAGGTTCCGGCCCCGCACTTCCTGTCTGCGCCCGGCCTGGGCGGAGGTGCTGGCCTCCAGTGTGTCCCCTGTGCTGAGTGAAGCGAGGGACCTTCGTGTCCTCCCGTCAGCTGCTCCTCTGAAGGCCTGGGGCGGGGGGCGCCAGCCGGGAGAGCGGCCCTCGGGGCACGCTGGCGGTGCGTGACGCCCCGGCCTTGTCCAGGGTCCAGCCTGCAGCTGCTGCGGGACAGCCCCTGCCTGGTGGAGCTGCTGCTGCAGGTGCCGCAGGCCCCGGGCCTGAGCCCCCGCGTGCTGGCCTTCGCGCTCCGCCTTGCGGGCCTGCTCGCCGCCCAGGAGGCCTGCTTCCAGTTCCTGCAGGTGAGTGACCCTCCCCGCGGTGCAGAGGGGGCCGTCCCCCCTCGTCCCCCACGTCTCCGCAGCACGGCCCGTCTGGTAAAGGGATGGCGTGGGGCAGGGGGCACCCGGTGAGATGTGGCTGTGCCCTGATGGTCCCCCAGGCCGGGGCCGGGAGCTCGGAGCCCACGGGGCCCTTACACCAGGATGTCCTGGACAGAGGGGCCCCTGGGGGTGACGCTGGGGTGCTGCTGGGGAGGATTCCTGAGACAAAGAACGAACGGGATAGACCAGCCTTCCTTTAGACGGGGCTCCGGCCGCCTGCCCCTCCCAGCGCGGCTGCCCAGGGCCATTCCTCTCCCTCCAGCAGGGGGAGCTGCTGCCCGGGCTCTTCGGGGAGGCGGGCCCCCTCGGCGGGGCGGCCTGGACGGCGCCCACGGTGCGCAGCGGCTGGATCCAGGGCCTGCGCTCCCTGGCCCAGCACCCCGGCGCCCTGCCCTTCCTGGCCGAGCTCGGTGAGTGCCCGCCTGCCCGCGCCCGCCTGCCGCGGGGGCCTCCGGGGGCCGCTGCGCCCGGCCCGGGCTGTGAGGAGCACTGGGGCGACCAGGCGGGAGGCCCCTGGAGAGCGGGAGCGGCGCCCTTGCTCGCGGTGGGGCCCAGCGGCTTTGGGACTGAGAGGAGGGACGGGGGCTGTGGGTCTAACGCCCGGCAGCTCGGGCCTCGGGCTCCTGAGCAGAGGACGCCGGGCCTCCGCTGGCCCCTCGGCCGCGGGGTCCGGCTCTCCCCGAGGTGCCCCTGCTGCCGAGGGAGCCGTGGGCGCTGCGGGTCCCCACGGGCGCCCCGTCCGCTGAGCCGTCTCCCCGCAGGTGCCCTGGACACCGTGGTCGCCCTGCAGGGGGACTCCAGCCTGTTCGTGGCCTCGGCGGCCGGGCAGCTCCTGGCGCATATCCTGGGCCTGGCTCTGGGGGGCCAGGCCGAGGGCCCCCCCGGCCCCCCGGTGTGCGACTGGCCGGCCAGCGCGCAGGCGGTCGTGGGCCACCTCGAGGAGGCCCTGAGCTCCCCCGCGGCCCCGCGGGTCACGCAGGCCCTCCACGTGCTGACCACCACGCTCGGGCACTGCCACCGCCCGTGGACGCAGGTCCTGTGGGCGCGGCTGAGCCCCCTGGTGGCCCGTCTGCTCGAGAAGGACCCGGTGCCCGCCGCCCACTCGCTGGTGGACCTCCTCCTCAGCGTGGCCCGGTCAGCCCCGGGGGCCGCGGGGGCCGCGGGGGGGGTTCCCGGGAGGAGAGGGGTCACCAGAGGGTCTGGACGCCTGCGCCCGGGAGGGACCTGCGTCTCCGCTGGGCTGGGCCCTGGCGGCCTCGGGGCACCGGACTCACCGCGCGGCCGGGCCTTCCCTGCAGGTCCCCCGCGCTGAGCTCTGACCGCGGCTGGTGGGAGACGGCGGCGTGGGCACTGGGCCACCTCAGGCCCGCTCACGCCGGGCCCCTGGCTCTGGGGCTGCTGACCCTGCAGGACTGGTGAGTGCGGGCCCCGGGGGGCGGGCCCCGGGGGGCGGGCGGGGGGCCTCGCTGTCCGGGGTCTGGGCAGCTCTGTCCGGGGCGGGGTGGCCAGGCCGTGGGCATTTCCGCCGCCTGGGGCCTGGCACCTGCCGCGGTGCCTGTGGGCAGCTGCCTCTCGGTGTGCCGGTGCCGGCGCCGCCCCTGTGCCCGGCGGCAGGAGCCACCCGCCCGCCGTGGGGGCACGGCTCACGCTCTCCGTCCTCAGCCCTCAGGCCCTGAGCGCCCAGGCCTTCGCCGTCCTCCTCCAGCCCCTGGCCTGCGTCCTGAAGGCGACCGCACAGGCCCCCGCCCCCCCAGGTACCACCGGGCGGGGGCACCCCATGGGGGACGGGACCGCGGTCAGGGAGGCCGGTGAGGGGCGGGGCGGGACCACCAGCTCTGCTGCCCTGTCTTCCCGTCCCGCCCGAGTCCAGGGGCACCTCATGCCAGAGCAGCCGCCTCGCCCGCCTGGCTGGGCTCTGGGGCTGGCACTGGGCCTCAGGACGGTGGGGTGGGGTGGGGTGGGGGCAGAGAAGGGCCAGGCGCCCCGTGGCCGTGGCAGCACAGAGAGGAGCTCCTGAGGCAGCAGCCGCCCCGATGGGCGTGGACGGCCGGGCCTCGGCCTGGGGAGCCCTGGACGGGCTCAGGCCCAGCCTGGCCGGCTGCGGCACCTGACAGTCCGATGAGCCTCCCTCCCGGTGGCTGGCGTGGGGGTGGCCGGGTGGTGACGGGGGCGCGGCCCCTGCGGCCGGCAGGACGCGCACTGACGGGCGCTGTCTGTGGTCCGCAGGCTGGCCGGCCAGGCCCGAGGGCGACCCGGCGGCGGCCACCCTCCTGTCCTCGCGGTCGGCCTGCGTGGGGCTCCTGTGCCAGACCCTGGCCCACCTGGAGCTGCTGCAGCCGCTGGTAGGTGTGGCCCTGCCTGCGTCCCCGCCCCGCTGACCCCTCCTCCCGCTGACCCCTCCTCCCGCTGACCCCTCCTCCCGCTGACCCCTCCTCCCGCTGACCCCTCCTCCCGCTGACCCCTCCTCCCGCTGACCCCTCCTCCCGCAGCCCGGCCCCCGCTGACCCCTCCTCCCGCTGACCCCTCCTCCCGCTGACCCCTCCTCCCGCTGACCCCTCCTCCCGCAGCCCGGCCCCCGCTGACCCCTCCTCCCGCTGACCCCTCCTCCCGCTGACCCCTCCTCCCGCTGACCCCTCCTCCCGCTGACCCCTCCTCCCGCTGACCCCTCCTCCCGCAGCCCCCTCCTCCCGCTGACCCCTCCTCCCGCTGACCCCTCCTCCCGCTGACCCCTCCTCCCGTAGCCCGGCCCCCGCTGACCCCTCCTCCCGCTGACCTCTCCTCCCGCTGACCCCTCCTCCCGCTGACCCCTCCTCCCGCTGACCCCTCCTCCCGCTGACCCCTCCTCCCGCTGACCCCTCCTCCCGCTGACCCCTCCTCCCGCTGACCCCTCCTCCCGCTGACCCCTCCTCCCGCTGACCCCTCCTCCCGCTGACCCCTCCTCCCGCTGACCCCTCCTCCCGCAGCCCGGCCCCCGCTGACCCCTCCTCCCGCTGACCCCCTCCTCCCGCTGACCCCTCCTCCCGCTGACCCCTCCTCCCGCTGACCCCTCCTCCCGCTGACCCCTCCTCCCGCTGACCCCTCCTCCCGCTGACCCCTCCTCCCGCTGACCCCTCCTCCCGCTGACCCCTCCTCCCGCTGACCCCTCCTCCCGCAGCCCGGCCCCCGCTGACCCCTCCTCCCGCTGACCCCCTCCTCCCGCTGACCCCTCCTCCCGCTGACCCCTCCTCCCGCTGACTCCTCCTCCCGCTGACCCCTCCTCCCGCTGACCCCTCCTCCCGCTGACCCCTCCTCCCGCTGACCCCTCCTCCCGCTGACCCCTCCTCCCGCAGCCCGGCCCCCGCTGACCCCTCCTCCCGCTGACCCCCTCCTCCCGCTGACCCCTCCTCCCGCTGACCCCTCCTCCCGCTGACCCCTCCTCCCGCTGACCCCTCCTCCCGCTGACCCCTCCTCCCGCTGACCCCTCCTCCTGCAGCCCCAGCGCCCCGCGCCCTGGCCCCAGGCGCCCCTGCTGGGGGCCGCGCTGACGGTCCTGCGGTTCTGCAATGGCTCCGCGGTGCCCGCCCCCGGCTCCGACGTGGGCAGCCGCCTCTGTGCCGTCCTGGCCGGCTGCGCCCGCGTCCAGCGCGCCGCCCTCAGCCTCCTGGGGGCGCTGTCCGAGGACGCAGGTGAGCGAGGCGCTGCCTCTGAGGCCGCCCTTCCCCCTCTCGGACCTCCGGGCCTGCTCTCCGGGGCACTCACTCCCCGGGCCGGTCCGGAGCCCCCGGCGGGCGGGTGCCACCCACCACGTCTGTCCCAGGGCCCCCAGAGCTGGTGACGCAGGTGTTTGCCGTCCTCCTGGACTACCTCCGGAGCCCCGACTCCAGCCCCACGGTACGGGGGGGGGGGGGGGGGGGGCGAGGGGGGCGGCCTGGGGGCGGCAGAGGTGGGGGCCCTGTGCTTCCCCAGGGAGTTCCCAGCGGCCGGCGGCTGCGGGTCGGCCGGGCCTCGCCAGGCGGGGAGGCGGGAGGGCGGCTGTCGCCGGGAGAATGGCCCAGAGCTGGGGACCCTGCGCGGTGCCTGCGCAGCGCCTGGAGTTTGCTGCAGACACCGTTCTCAGCCCCACCACTGAGCGGCGCTGGGGAGAGGGGGGCGGTGACTCCCACCCACCCACCGACCGAGCGGCAGTGGAGTGGGCGAGGCCCAGGCCCCGGGCTGGAGGCAGAGGCACCTGCTAGTCTGTGTCTTGGGCAGAAAAGGCCTTTCCCCAGGAGTGAGGTCCTCAGAGGCTGCCTCGCCCTCCCCTCCTCTCGCTCACCTGGAGGCCCCTCTGCTTCCTGAAGCCGGGCGGCCTGGGAACGGCCCGTCCTCTGACCCACAGCCAGCCCTCTGACCCTCGGGGTGGGGCGGGGTGGACGGGGCGGGTCACGGGGTGGGCAGGGCGGGGCACCCCCCTCCGGCCTGCAGCCCCGCCCTCCCCAGGTGCTGAAGAAGGCCTTCCAGGCCACGCTGCAGTGGCTCCTGAGCACCCCCACGCCCCCCGGCGGCTGCGCCCCGGACCCCCCCGCCCAGCCATTCCTTGGAGGTAACCGGGCCTCCCCCGGGCACACACAGGGCACCGGGAGCCACGGGGCCGGCGGGCGGCGGGAGGAGGGGGCGGCCGGGAGGAGGGGCGGCCGGGAGGAGGGGTGGCCGGGAGGAGGGGGCGGGCCTCTCTGACCCCCCTCCCGCCCCAGAGCTTCTCCCTGTGCTGCAGAGGCGCCTGTGCAGCCCCTGCTGGGAGGTGAGGGACTCGAGCCTCGAGTTCCTGACCCAGCTGGCCGGACACTGGGCAGGTGAGTGCGGCGGCGGGGCCTGCGGCTCCGGCTCTGGTCACCGGGGTGGCTCTGGAGCCGGGCCCGGAGCGGCAGCCGGGGAGAGGGCGAGGCTGCGGGCAGCTCGGTCACAGCGGCCAGCGCTCCACCCGCAGGACATGCCGGCTTCCGACACGCGCTCCTGGCGTCCGAGGTGCCTGAGCTCGCGCGGCAGCTCCTGCAGGACCCTGAGAGCTACGTCCGAGCCAGCGCGGTGACCGCCGTTGGCCAGCTGGCCAGCCGGGGGCTGCACGCCGGCCCCGAGCGCCCCGGAGGCCCGCAGGTGGGCGTGGGCACGGCCCGGGTCCCCTCAGCTCCCAGCACCCGTTGCGTGACCGATGAGCACATGCGGGGCGGGGCCTGAGGCCCGCGGGCGGGTTCGGGCGCCTGCACCTGGGCGGCACTCACCCTCCGCCCTCCGTCCGCAGAAGGGGGCGCTCCCGGAGCTGCTGGGCGTGCTGGCCGCCGACCCGGAGGGCTTCCCGCGCCGGGCGGCCATGCAGGTCTTCACGCGCTGGCTGCGGGCCGGCCACGCCGAGGCCGCCGCGGACCCCGAGCGCTTCGTGGCCGGCGTGCTGCGGGCGGCCGGCCGGGACCTGGACTGGGAGGTGCGGGCGCAGGGCCTGGAGCTGGGCCGGGCGTTCCTGGAGCGGGTGCTGGGCCGGGCCGGCCCGCCCTGCCCCTACGCGGTGGCCGCCCCGGAGCCCGCCGCCCCGGAGCCCGCCGCCCAGGCCCTGCGCGCCGCCTGCCGCGTGCGGCTCCCCGAGTTCGCGCTGCGCGCCCTGTTCGACTGCGACCGGCCCGTGGCCCGTGAGGCCTGCGCCCTCCTCCTGCTGCTGCGGGACCAGGCCGCCCCCGGGCACGGCCTGCCGGAGGCGGGGCCCGCCGCGGCCCCCGTGGAGGCCGCCCTGCAGAGGTGGCGGGCGGGCGAGCAGGCCCAGCTCCTGGGGCCCCTGGAGCCCGAGGCCGTGCTGGCCGTGCTGCGCTCCCTGGACCTGGAGGGCCTGCGGGGGGCGCTGGCCGAGAGCAGCGACCACGTGGAGCGCAACCCCCAGTCGCTCCTGCAGGACATGCTGGCCACCGCGGGCCTGCGGGGGGACAACGAGGCCGACTGCTACTGAGGGCCCGGCGACCTCTGACCTCTGCCTCCCTCGACCTCCCTGCCCCCAGCGACCTCCCTGCTCCCCCCGGTGACCTCCCTGCCCGTCCCGCCCTCAGGCTGCGGGCCCGTCTCGGCCGGCTGCACAGGGGCCCTCGGGAGCCAGGCCGGGAAGACCAGCGGTCAGTCACGTGCGGGGAGTGTTATTAAAGTGGCTTATTTCCCACTAAAAATAAACACCTGTGACGGCCACTGAGTCCGTGCCGTGTCTGAGACGCCGGCCAGGAGGAGGGGCGAGGAGGGACCTCCCGGGCAGCCTCCTGCCTCTGGCCAGTGGTCTGCCCTGGGCCCAGGCCTCCGGGGTGACTCAGGTCAGAGCACAGAGCTCCGCCTGGATGGGCCTGGTGCTGGGACCTGGCTCCTCCTGAGGCCCCCGTCCAGCCGCGGCCCCCAGAATCGCCCTCAGCTTCCAGGGACTCAGCTCACTGCCCCCATCAGGCAGGGGGAGCTGCCGTGGTCCCGTATGGGGGAGCTGAGGTCCAGGCTGGCCCGACAGGCCGTTCAGCACCGGGCGAGCCGGCTGCCGTCCTCCCTGAGGTGCCCGGTGCTCAGGCGCCAACACCAGAGGGACGCCCCGAGGAGCTCCGAGACTGAACTCCTGACGCACCGTAGCTTGTGGGGTGCAGCGGGGGCACGTTTATAGCCTTGTTAGGAAACACCCACGAACAGTGCCCCCCCCCCACCCGAGAACTGGAAAACGGCCACATTAAACCCAAAGTAGGTAGGAGAAATAAAAGAGCAGGAATCCAGTTGGAAACAGGAAACCAATAGAGAAACCAAAAGAGAACATTATCCAAACCACAAGCCAGGTTCTGGGACCGGCGATCAATGCATTGGTCAGCCTCTAGCCTCACAGAGAAGAGCAGAGTCACCCGGTCGGAAACGGGAGGGAGTGAGCGCGGTGAGCAGGCCAGTTCCTTGAGACGATCGGCGAGACCACACAAGAAGGAGAACATTTAACCCCGTGGTCAGCAAACCGCGGCTCTCAAGCCACATGCGGCTCTTTGGCCCCTTGAGTGTGGCTCTTCCATAAAATACCACGGCCTGGGCGAGTCTTATTTTGAAGAAGTTTCGTTGAAAAAATGTGGCTCTCCAAAGAACTGTCCATCGTCCTGCTGTTGGTATTTGGCTCTGCTGGCTAATGAGTTTGCCGACCCCTGATTAAGCAGACCTGCGTGCCTAACGCACCGGCATTCCCAAACAGCCCGGCCCGGGGGGTTCACTGGTGAGTTCTACAAACCTTGCCCAGGATCACCCTGAGCTTCCAGGACTCCGAGCTCACACTCCCCCAGGCAGGGGCTGCCCAGGTCATGTCCACCTGTTCCCGGCAAAGCCTCTGGAGGGCAGAACGGGGGCTTCCCACCTCACTCGCTGAAGCCAGCGTCACCCAAACAAGGTGACCAATATCCCACTTTTGGTATCCCACGGCGTTTTAAAAAAGTCCCCATTCGCCAAAGCCGGTTTGGCTCAGTGGATAGAGCGTTGGTCTGCGGACTGAAAGGTCCCAGGTTCGATTCCAGTCAAGGGCATGTACATTGGTTGTGGGCACATCCGGTGGGGGGTGTGCAAGAGGCAGCTGTTCGATGTTTCTCATCGACGTTTCTAGCTCTCCATCTCTCTCCCTTCCTCTCTGTAAAAAATCAATAAAAAAATATATATTTAAAAAAAAAAAGTCCCCATTCTTTAAAACACCTCAGGACGCAGGGCAAATCGTTAAAAATCGGGACATCTGGTCACCTTACCCGAACACCACATCCAGACAGAGCCAGCCCGAGAAAGCAAGGCCTCTCTCATGAACACGGACGTAAAAATCCTCCACAAAACAGACTCCAGCGGCGTGTCCGTGGAATTCCCTCTCCCGGCCAAGTGGGTTTAGCTCAGGCAGGCACGGCCGCTCAGCCTCGGACCCGGGGAAGAGCCTGGGGGAATCGGGAGGCTCTGCGGTCACACACGGCACCTACAGTCCCCGCCAAGGGGGGTCAGCGCACGCCGGGTGGTAACCGTGCAGAGGCCGGGGGTGCGGGGGACGAGCAGGCCGGCCCCTGCCCACTATGCTCCACAGCCCCTCGTGGTGCGTTTCCACCGGTCGTGGCACCTTCACGGGAGCTGCTCGATGCCCGAGAACCGCGCCCTGGCCGTGGCGCAGGGCGGGGAGAGGTGCAGCTGACCCTTCTGCCTCAAGCACAGCCCCGTCTGCCTGTCCGTCTGCCTCTGTCCATCCAGGTTAAGTCGGGGCGGGTCTGGCCCGACTTCTGCCCCCTTCCTGAGGCCCCTCAGACCACACTGGCCATCTGGCCTCACCCAGGCTCAGGGTCCCGGGGGGCTGCCCGGTGCCCGGACTGGGCTCGGCAGCAGAGGTCAAGGACAGCCACGGGCTGCCCCTCCGGTCACATGTCCGGGCCTGAGGACCTGCCCCAGACCCCGGCCCTGTCTGCCTGTGGGACCCCGGGGAGCCGAGCCCCAAGGTCTCACTGCATCCTGAGTCTGAGCCTGGGGCAGGCAGAGGAGGGACGGGAGGCTGTCTGTCCACAAGGGCTCTGCCTGTCCGTCCGCCTGTCTGTCCATCTGCCTGATGCCGCGTCCCCTTTGGCGCAGGCACAGCCCCCCAGAGGGAGGGCGGCCCCACAGGCCCCTCAGGCGCTCCTGTCCTTCCAGCCCGTGGCCGTGCTGCCCTCTGCCGGCGGCGTGAGGCACCGCAGGGTGTCCTGTCCCCGGAAGTTGTAAGAGCTCAGCGCCGCCAGCCCGGGAGCCGGCGCTGTGGGCGGGGCCTGCCGCGGGCCCGCCTCCAGGGGCGGGGCCTCCCCCCCCCCCCCCGCTTCCTCCCGCGGGGCCGGTCCCGGGCGGGATTCCCACCGGACAGGACGGCGCGCCTCGGGGCGGCGGGGGCGGCGGCGGCGGCGGGGGCGGCGGGGGGCGTGGCCGCCGTCCGGCCAGACCCGCCTGGCGGGGGAGGCCGGGCGCCCGCGGGGGAGGCATTGGACACCCGCCCTCCGGCCGGCGACCCGGGCCTCCTCCCGCCCCGGCCAGAGGCCGCCCATTCCTGACTCAAGCGCGGTCACCGCCTCCGGGACGGCCGTCCCGGGCCAGGCTGACGCTCTCCGGGGCGCAGGGGGCGGCGGGGGAGACGGGCTCCTCCGCGGTCTCCCGGGGCCGCTGCGCACAGGAGCCGCGGGGCTTCCGGCGACGATCGTCCGGGCTGAGGGGAGCCCGTCCCTGCCGCGGGGGGCCTGAGTGTGACGGCCTGGGCCTGAGGCCGGGAGCGAGGCCGGGAGCGGGCGCACACCGCGGCCACGGCGGATGGCCGCTCCCGGCACGTCCGTCCGTCTGTCCGCCCGCCTGCCTGTCCGTCTGTCTATCCTCCTGTCCATCTGTCTGCCTGCCTGCCTGTCCGTCTGCCTGCCTGCCTGTCCGTCTGTCTGCCTGTATCCTCCTGTCCGTCCGCCTGTCCGCCCGCCTGCCTGTCTGTCTATCCGCCTGTCCATCTGTCTGTCCGCCTGTCTATCCGCCTGTCCGTCCGTCTGCCTGTCCGTCCATCCGCCTGTCCATCCGTCTGCCTGCCTGTCGGCCTGCCTGTGCCCCCCGCCGCCCCGCCCTGGCTCTCAGCTGTGGCCCGAAGCGCTGGCCCGCGGGAGGAGCGGCCTGGCGCACAGCCTCCGGCCTCAGGGACCCGGGGACCTGCTGGAAGGACGTTAGGGGCGGGATGTCCTGGGAACGAGGATGCCGCTCAGGGCCGGCCCCGCGCTGCCAGGGCTCAGCCCGCGCCGTCCCTCCGCTGCCCGCGTGCGGGGCGGCCAGCGGCCCAGCCCGAGGACCTGCACAGCCCACCGCGCCCTGAGGAGCGGCCGAGGGGCCGGGCCCCGGCTCAGGGACACCCCTCCGCGCACCCCTGACTCCCCCATTCCCGGCCCGGTTCCCCTTTGTTCCCACGGCCAGTCACTTCCGGAGCCACTCTGGACCCTTCCTCCCGCCAAAGCCCAGCCCCAGCCCGCCTCTAAGCCCCCCCCACCCAAGCCCCGCCCTGACGCCCCGAGGCCGAGGCCACGCCCCACCAAACAAGCCCCGCCCGCCCACGGCCCCAGCAGACAGGCCAGTGAAGGTAGTTTGCCTTGGGTCCCATGGTTGGTTGGGGAGCTTGGGAGCGAGGGGCAGGGAGGAGGGATGTGGTGACACTGGCCCATGGGCTATCTGATTCAGCCTTTTCTGGGAGGAAAAAATCTCCAGAAGGGCTTAGAGAATAAAGCAGGCACCCCTGGGGCTTAGCCACCGGCTAACGTTACAGCTCCAGGTACAAACCACACCCACTGCGCTCAGAGGAGAGGCCGCAGGCTCCGGGTGCTCAGGGCGGTGCGCACAGGTCAACATGGGCCTCGCAGCAGCTCTGCAGACCCGCCGGGCCGGCGGCTGCCGGAACCCCTCCCCGGGAAGCTCGGCCACCATCAGCCTCGGCCTAGAAGCTCCCGCCAGGCGGTCCCCTGCTGTGGCCCAGGAGGCCCGCTGGCTGGGGGCTCCCCGAGGCTGCACAGCTGGGGCCCCTGAGCCTGGTCTTCCTTAGAGAAGCACCTGGGCATGTGAGCAGGAAGGAGGCGCCAGGTGGGAGGCGCAGCTGGCTCCCGGGGCCGCTCGGGCCTGCCCGGCCCGCTCCTGAGAGCAGCTGCTGCTCCTTCCCCAGATCCGGAGGTCCCAGCGGCCGGGTGGGTGGCCGGCCGCGGGCGAAGATGCCAACCTAAACAGGCCCAGCTGCCGCTCCGAGGCCCTGTGTGCAGAGAGGGCGCGTCCCGGCAGGAGTATTTTTATCCCGGAGGCCGGCGGCGGCGGGAGGAGCCGGGAGGAGCCGGGCTTCCCGGGGGTGGCCTGGTCCGGCCCTGTCCCCGCCCCGGCCCGCGGGCCCTAGAGGAGCTGGGTTAGTCCTGGCTCCAGTGGGGCCACTGAGCACAGAGGTGCCCACCGCAAGGAAACCAGCTTCTGGCCAACTGACGGCCCTCAGACGAAGGCGGGAAAGAGCGCTGGGAACGAGCCCGAGACCATCCGCCTTGCCGAGCTGCAGAAACCCCGTAAATCAGGGGAAGCGGCCAGCCCCTGGCCAGCACCTTGATTAACGAGGACCCGGAATAACAGGTTTATTTTTAGACCAGCTTCTCGGGTAAAGAGGCGAAGGAAAACAAGCTCGGGCAGGGCTATTTTAAAAAGCAGTTTCCATGTCCACCCAGTTCCCCACGGTGATGAGGGCCAGGCGGCCAGGACCCGCTCAGCGGAGGCGCCCGGACGCAGTGTGCGCCTCCTTGGCCCGAGGAGTGGCCCCGGAGAGGCCGCAAGGCCGGCTGTGTCCCCCCGGCCCCCTCAGGGCATCAGGTTCTCAGCCAGCCAACCACGTGAGGCCATCACCCAGCACTTGGATCCACTGTGTCGTGTGGCGCTGGGCCAGGCCTGGCACCCGGGCTCTCGGCCCATCCCCTGGGGGCCCCTCGGCCCTCACAGGCCCTGCCTCCCTGGCTCCTGGACTCCAGACAGCACCCACATCTCGAGCGCATCTCTCCTCCTGCAAGCATCCCCGACCCGCACCAGCTTCTGCCCAGAGCACAGTGTCAACACCACCTCAGCGAGGCCCCCTCGGCATCCCTGCGGGTTCACGGACATTCTCGGCACCGAGCTGTCCTCCCAGCGGCCCGTGGTCAGTGGGGCCTGGTCCTAACCCCTGGGGACACACTCACCTGCCAACAGGAGGCCAGAGAGCAGGGGGTGCCCGGGCGGCCTCTCCCCTGCACTGTCTTGGAGCACAAGGGTCCCTCCCTCCCTCCAGGTCCTCGCCACCTGCCTCAGGCATCACCTGTCTGAAGTGAGCGTCCAGTGCAGGCCTCCCTCAGCTCAGCCGGTGCTGGGAGGAGCTGCTGGGGCAGGGGCCAGGGGGCAGCAGGGCGGGAGGCACCATGGCCACCCCCCTCCACGCTGCTCCCGCCCGTCTGTCAGTGGGCCAACGGCCGGCACGCCCTCGCTCCACAGCGGATCCTGCGCAGCCGGCGGTCACCTGCTGGGTGCGTCTCGCCACTTCTGCCCCTGGGAAGCTTTCGTTCCGCGACACCTGTGCCCTCGAGGCAGGCGTGGAGTGAAACCTGGGGTTCTCATCGCAGTGAGCCTGCGAGCAGACCCGCGTCAGCGTCCCTGGCTGAATTTTTGGGCCTGGAAATGGAACTTACTGTTGGTTCTGAGTGGCGAGTGGTTTTTTTTTAAAAAAATGTATTTTTATTTTGATTTGAGAGGGGGAGGGAGAGAAACATCAGCAATGAGAGAGAATCACTGATCAGCTGCCTCCTGCATGCCCACACCAGGGGTTGAGCTTGCAACCCGGGCATGTGCCCTAACCGAGAATCGAACCGTGACCCCCTGGTTTGTGGGTTATGCTCGGCCCCTACGCACGCCGTCGGGCTGAGTGGTACTCTCCACCGAGCAAAGAAACAGGATTTACTGTAAGAAACACTGAGAGGCTGGAGGCGGTCCAGTGGCAAACCAGGTGCTCGCAGCTGCGCCAATCCGGTGTGGGGGCCGCCCGGAGCCCACACGGACACCCCATCCTCATGCTGTGCCCCCTGGTCACAGCCACGCTGAGGATCCTGCCTCCCGTGAGTGCCTGCTCTCGGGAGTTAATAACCCGACTCATAAGGAAAGAAATGCACTGGAGAGCAGTCATCCAGAGCTGTCACTCAGCACCTGGGACTTTCTCTACAAACAGCAGTTAAAAAACCCGTCACCACCCCACGTGTTCTCATGTGAACAGTGTGAGCGGAGAAACGGAGAAATGCGTCTTATTTGAAGAAGTTTATTGTTACATTGTTGCAATAATAGATGAGGCACCACTACCTCCTGCTCCTCCAACATCTCAATACAAAAGACAATAATCAAGGTGACAGTGAAATTAAGATAAAAAATTACAAAAGCCGAGGCTTCGGAAACAAGAAGGACTAGTCTATGTGTAGAAAGTTGTAAATGGTTTAGTTCAGCTTCACAAGTGTAACCTCCTCTCCGGTTAGGCGCTAGGACAGGGCAGCGCCGGGACGCCCGGGCCGGGCGAGGAGCCCACGGGTGCGGGGCGGCCGGGCTGGTCGGGGTCCTGGCCTCCGGGCCATCCCGCCCGCTCAGCGCGGTCACGGTGCTGACACCGGCGCCCCGGCACCGAAGGCGACCGCGACCTCAGAGCCGCCTGCCTGAGTGCCCTGTGCCCTCCCCTCTAGGCTGCACGGCCCTGGGCCACAGCCCCGGCTCCTGGAGAGCCACAGGGGCGGCACCCAACCAGCAACTTCTTTCTCAGCAGAGCCGGCCCTCAGCACACGCCCCGAGGGCTCTCCCGGGTGCGTCTCCTCCTACACAGGCGACAAGGTGACTCAGGAGCGGCCCCCCCCCCCCCCCCCCCCCCCCCCCCCCCCCCGTCAGCCCTGCCTCGGGCTCAGTGGGCCGGACCTGCTGACATGGAGCCGAGGGAGGTGGCACCGGACCAGGAGGGGCCCGGTGGCCTGAGGCCCAGGGCCGGGGGGTGGCTAAGCCAGTGGAACGAGGAAGCTCTCTCCTCTCTCAAGTGCTAGGCGAGCCCCCCCACCCTCCCCCCGCCCGGACCGCAGGGAGGCCGCGGCGGCAGTGGAATGCATGCTCTGTACAGTGTGGCACCTGCCGGGCGGCCTCCACGGGCCCAGCGCCCCGAGTGGGGAGCACGTGCTGGTGGCATTCAGGAGGCAGAGCCTGGAAGGACCGATGGAGGGCGGCCTGCGAAGGGACAGCCCTGCGAAGGGACGGCTGTGAGAGGCACTGGTGGCGGCAGCCTGTGGGACCCAGGGTGTGCGGGTCGGGCTTCCTGAGGGTCAGTGTCCGCGGAGCACAGGCCGCCGGCTGGACACGGCTGTGCTAACCCTGCGCTGCGCCCTGGCGGCCACCCGCAGGCGGCGGGTGTGACTTCGAGGGGGAGGGGGAGAAGGGGAGGGGTGGCGGGGCAGGGCGGGGCAGGGCGGGGCAGGGCGGGGCGGTCGGGAGTAATAAGCACCGCCCAGTGCTAGGTGAGGGACTGGTGGCAGGGAGGAGGCAGCGCCTGGGCACTAAGGCACAACACTCCAGGAGCCCCCACAGCCGGGGGCTCCGGGACGTGGCACAGGAGTTTTCAAAGGCAGCGCGCTCCCTCTGGGAGGGGCACCGAGACCCGCACCCGCTGCTGGCACTGGGTCGCCCACACGCCACGCGGGGCAGGGCGCTGGGGCAGTGGCAGCAAGACCTGCAGGTCAGAGGGAGCCGGGCAGGCCGGCGCTCGGTGCTGGGGTCAGAGTGCGCGCAGGCGCACGGACACACGCCTGGGCACTCGCAGGCGCGCGGACACACGCCTGGGCACGCGCAGGCGCACGGACACACGCCTGGGCACTCGCAGGCGCGCGGACACACGCCTGGGCACGCGCAGGCGCGCGGACACACGCCTGGGCACTCGCAGGCGCGCGGACACACGCCTGGGCACACGCAGGCGCGCGCAGCAGTCCCCCGCCCGCCGGCGTCTCAGTAGTGTCCCTCCCGGATTCAGTAGCCATGGCGGCCCTCCGCGCGGAGGCGCGGGCCTCACTGCAGCATGATGTCCTTGAGGTTCTCCTGCAGGATGGTGTCCTTGACGGCGTGGAAGACGAAGCGGATGTTCTCGGTGTCGATGGCCGTGGTGAAGTGGTGGAAGAGGGCCTTGCTGCGGTTGCGGCGCCGGCGGTCGAAGCACTGCACCAGGTAGCGCTGCACGTCCTCCAGCCGGTGCGGGTCGCCGCGGAAGTCGGGGAAGTGCTTGCTGATGGCGACGCTGCGCACCTTCTCCACCAGCAGGTCCGTCTTGTTGAGGAAGAGGATGATGGACACGTTGGCGAAGAGCTTGTTGTTGACGATGGTCTCGAAGATGTTCATGGACTCCAGCAGCCGGTTGGTGCGCCGGTCCTCCATGAGCACCTGGTCGTACTCGCTGGAGGACACCATGAACAGGATGGACGTGATCCCGTCGAAGCACTGGAACCACTTCTGGCGCTGGGACCGCTGGCCGCCCACGTCCACCATCTTGAAGGGGATCTTCTTGATCACGAAGTCGTGCTCCACGATGCCCTTGGTGGCCTTCCGGGCCAGCAGGATGTCCTGCTTGCTGGGGAAGTAGTTCTGCAAGATAGGGCAGAGCTCAGGGAGGGCGGGGAGGACTGGGGATGGGGGCGGAGCTCAGGGAGGGCGGGGGGATGGGAGGGGGCGGAGCTCAGGGAGGGCGGGGGGATGGGAGGGGGCGGAGCTCAGGGAGGGTGGGGAGGGCTGGGGCTGGGGGCGGAGCTCAGGGAGGGCGGGGAGGGCTGGGCTGGGGGCGGAGCTCAGAGAGGGAAGGGGGATGGGAGGGGGCGGAGCTCAGGGAGGGCGGGGAGGGCTGGGATGGGGGCGGAGCTCAGGGAGGGAAGGGGGATGGGAGGGGGCGAAGCTCAGGGAGGGAAGGGGGATGGGAGGGGGCGGAGCTCAGGGAGGGCGGGGGATGGGAGGGGGCGGAGCTCAGAGGGAAGGGGGATGGGAGGGGGCGGAGCTCAGAGAGGGCGGGGAGGGCTGGGGATGGGAGGAGGCGGAGCTCAGAGAGGGAAGGGGGATGGGAGGGGGCGGAGCTCAGAGAGGGCGGGGAGGGCTGGGGGCGGAGCTCAGAGAGGGAAGGGGGATGGGAGGGGGCAGAGCTCAGAGAGGGAAGGGAGATGGGAGGGGGCGGGAGCAGGGAATGGACGGGTAGGAGAGACAGTCAAGGGGCTCGGAGAAGTCGAACCAAATACTGCGGGTAGAAGCAGCGGTGCTGGAAGTCTCAGAGCCTTCTGCAGGTGGAGGGAGACCGAGGGGAGACCGCCAGCACGTTGGCAGGGAGAGCGGAGAGCCAGAGGGGCAGCGCGGGGAGAGGTCTGAGTGACCGGGACCGGCGGCCTGGCTGGGGAGGGGCCGGGAAGTCCGCTGGCTGGCGCTGGCTGGCATCAGGGATGGCTGAGTTTCCCAGGAGCACAGGGCGGTGGTTCTGACTTCTGGGTCTCCCCTCAGAGCCAGGCTCTGATATCAGTGAGGGGCTGATGTAACCACGGGCCTGCTCCTGGGCAGGGGGCGGGGCTGAGGCAACAAGACGGACCACAGGGATAACTGTTCCACCTGGGTCCCACGGATTCTTTTTAAGCAGCTCTCTTTTTGAAATTAATTAATTAGTTGTTGTTGTTAATCCTCATCTGAGGATGCTTTTCCATTGATTTTTAGAGAGCGTGGAAGGAACAGGGAGACAGAGAGGGAGACAGCGCTGTGAGAGACATTGATTGGCTGCCCAGTGCCAGGGCCTGCACTGACCAGCATCGAACCTGGGACTGTCCGGGAGCCGCCCAGCCAGGCTGCTCAGCGCTCCGTCGGCACGTGTGACCCCACGGTAAAGGTGACCACGCCGTCTCCCCACAGGGATCGGGCGAGGGGGTCCGCAGAAACGCCGCTCCCACGGCGTCACAGGCCTGGCGGCCTAAGGACAGGGCCGAGTGCCCTCCCCTGAGCCCCCGTCCCTCCGTCCTGCCGTGGCCCCGCCAGCGGCTCCTCAGTCCCGAGAGGCTTTCTCTCCAGAGTCTCGGCGGGCGGGCGGGCGGGTCTGTACTCACCAGCTGGCCGATCCGGTCCAGGTTGTCCAGGAAGTACTTCACCGACTCCCCCTGTCAGGGAGCACACAGTCAGCGCGGTGTCAGCTGCGGGCCGATGTGCCAGGCCCCATGTCCAGTGGCACCGGCGGGGGCTGAGACACTGGAGGAGCGTCAGTGACAGCCGCACACGTTTCCCCGAGAAGCAGGATGGCCGGAGGGCGGGCCCCAAAGGGATGTGCACTCTGAGCGGCCACTGGAGCCCGACTCTCTACCCCAGGCTCTCTCATCCCAGGCTCCCGCGGCCCAGGGCTCCGCTCCTTCCCTGAGGCTCTGTGGGAGGCGGGCTGCCTTGGGAAAAGCAGCAGCACAACCCACACCCATGGCAGCGCCATCGAGACCTCGGAGGGACGGAGAGGGAGGAGCGAGGTCGCGGCCGAGGAAAGGAGCTGGAGGACAGCCCACCAGCCTGAAGGGATCCTCCCACTCGTCCCAGCGGGCCCGGAGGGAGCACCGCGTCCACTTCCTTTCCGGAAGGACCAGCTCCCATTCCACAGCGGAGGCCTCTGGCTGCCTGACTGTCTGAGGGCGGGCAACCTTCCCGCAGCACACGGAGCACGCTGATCAAACGCAGCCCCCCCACCCCCCCACCCCCAGCGGCCCGGCCAGTGTGGAAGGCACCCACAGCTCCAGGGAGAAAGGCACCCCCCCTGCAGCTGCCTCCGTCACCTGACGCCGGCCCTCCCCTCCCCCTCGAAGGGGAAAGCCAGGATCTGGGATGGGGAAGCAGTGCGTCCCGCCCGCCCGCCCGCCCGCGTCTGCTGGCTGCTGTCCGTGTTCTTGCTTTGTCTGCAGCCCCTGCTCCCCCGCGCGGACAGGAAACAGCTGTGAGGGAAGAGCTGTGGAGCCCAGCAAACCTGCCTGCGGCCTCCTCCCTGACATCCTCTCCCTGCCGCCTGCCGGCCGCCCAGCCTTCCGAGCTCACAGGCTGCGGCCCTCAGCCGCCGCCCACGCCAGAGGGCCGACGGGCATTGGTCTCACCTCGGCGACTGTCCCCAGAGCAAAAGCACCAGCGTCCGCTGGCGGACAGGACGGCACCGGGAGTCCCCGCGACAACATTCGCAATGTCCAGGACGCCATCCCATCCCTCCTGTGCGGAGAGCCGGGGAACGCACTGGCCTCAGGGAGAAGAGCCAACAGCCACCACTCAGTCACCAGGAACCGGGCACTGACAAAGCTCGAAGCAGCTGCCAGTTAGTTCACTGGGCATAACATGCTTCCCATGGACAAAGGCACAAAAACCCTCGCAGGTACACAGAGCACCACGGAGCGCTTGTAGGGCTTCAATGTACAGTATCTAAAGGGAAACATTAGTGGGCGGACTTCCCAGACTGCAGATGAGCCAGAAAGAATGAGTGAGCTCTCACACGAGAATAACAGAAACAAAAAGATTCACCACAGAGGACAGCAGCCTGGCCCCTGGACCACAGCAGGTCTCACACCGTAACTGGAACCCAACAGGATCGGAGAGCCGGTAGGAAGAACCGTTTTTGTATAAAAAACACCACTTTCTTAACTGGGTGGAAGAGGCACGTTTACAGATTTCAAGAAGCTCACAAACTCCAAACACACAAATGTGGAGAGAGCCGTGCTCAGGGCCCTCGCGCACGTGACGTGGGAACCTCACTGTCTCGTCTGCCCGAGAGGCCTTACCTCGCGAGGGAAGGGCTGAGCACGGACCCTCACCCCCTCTCCCGGATCCCTGAGAGCTGGCGGGCTGGCTGGGGCCCCGCCACGGAGACAGGCAAGCCAGAGTCACGGCCTCTGGGGCCAGAGACGTGGCTGAGCAACTGACACAAGATGTCCAGCTTTCAGCAGGAAATCACAAGACACGCTGAGAGGCAGGAGTCAGCGGGAAACACGACCGTAATAAGCTCCTCCAAAGAGGGGCCGGCACAAAGCTGGAGGAGGGACGGCAGATGAGCCGTAGAAAGGCGCTCGCTTCACCAGCACTCAGGAGATGCCGCCTGGCGCACAGGCAGAGCCCGAGGCCCTGGCAGACCACAGGCCTCCCGCCTGGGCACGCGGCACGGCCCACCCCCTCGGTGGTGGGTCGGAAGCTGGAAGCTCCGTGGGGGCAGCCCCTGCGTGTCGCTCACTCATTCCACAGAGCAGCCCCTCCACACACACACACACACACACACACACACACACACGCACGCAGCACCCACGCCCGAGTCACCAAGCAGAGGCTAAAGCGGAGAGAATCAGAAAGCACGGGCCACGTGAGCGGGTCTGCAGCCAGCCCCAGCGGGTGACACAGCCACGCGCACCGCACCTGAGGGAGGAGGGGAGGATGCCCGCCCGAGGCCCCGGCATCCCGGCCACGGCGCGGGACACCCGGGAGACCGCGCTGAGCTGGCGCAGGGCACGGACACACGGTGGCGCTGTGAGACCGGGGTGGGATGTGCCGAGGAACCAGCACCTGAGACCCCTCGGGGACCCTCCAAACGCAGCGGTGGCCTCGAGATGCGTCCGAGGCGACCTGCAGCCTCTCGGCGTGCAGCGGCTGCCCCAGGGCGTTAACCTCCACGGAACCCGGGCAGGCCCGGCGCCGCTTCTGGCACCGCCCACACTGCACGTTGTGTGGCTCCTCGGCACGGTCTAGGGCTCACAGGCGGGGGCCCCCAGGAAGGAAACCCAGGGGCGAGCCCACGCCAGCGGGTGGCCGTGCAGGTGGCAGCCGAGAGAGGACCCGGGGAGGGGGTGCGGGCAGCGGGACGGGCTCGGGACTTTTGAACCGCTGACGGCTCAGCCACGCTTCTCAGAGCCGGTGACAGGGCGCCCCGCCCCTCCTCCCTCCTGCCACCAGGAAGCAGCAGGGGCACACAGACCCGGGCACCCAGCAGTGGCACCAGCACGCAGCCCCAGAGGCTCAGCCACCACGGAGAGCCTGTGCTGCGGGGGAGGCGCCGAGTCCAGAGCGGGTCCACGGGCCGCTGTCCAGCGGGAGGCCCGCGGGCCCTGTGGGTGTGGGCACCAGCCCTCGGCTGTTCTCTCCCGCCTCCCCGCTCTCCTCGGGGACGGGGAACCGGGGGAACGAGGGGCGGGGAGCCTGAGCTCTGGGACCGGAGGGCGCGAGCTCACTTTACCCGCCACTCGGGCCGCCGCTTCGTAGTGCTGCCCCGTGTGGGCCCGGTTTACCGTTTGTTCACTCCCCTCACCCGCCTGGACGAGGACCTGCCACAGGCCACGCCGGTCAGCCCACAGCAGGACGCACACCTGTGGCCACGGCAAGGCCGAGGGCGCCACGCCACAGCCTGGCAGGCCCATCAAGCAGGGCACGCACCAGCAGGACACTGTCCCTTTAAGTCTTCCCACGCCTCCCTCCAGGCCCGTGCACTTCCTCCGGCAGCATCTCCGGGAGGACGGTTAGCTGCCACCCCGCCCCCTCCAGGGCCGCCAGGCCTCGCCTGCAGGGCCCGGGTGACAACCCAGGGTCCCTCCCCATAACAGCTGCTGGGGGGCCTGCAGATGGGCCTCCTGCTCCGGCAGGGCGGCCGGGTCCTGGCACAGCCACGCTGCACGCAGGGACAGCTGGTGGTTCTGGGTCCTGGCACAGCCACGCTGCACGCAGGGACGGCTGGTGGTTCTGGGTCCTGGCACAGCCACGCTGCACGCAGGGACGGCTGGTGGTTCTGGGTCCTGGCACAGCCACGCTGCACGCAGGGACGGCTGGTGGTTCTGGGTCCTGGCACAGCCACGCTGCACGCAGGGACGGCTGGTGAGGCCTGTGCTCCTGTGACTCAAAACCAAGTCACAGGAGCACAGGCCTCACCAGCCGCCCCTCTGCTGGCACCGGGACTCGCCGTGGGAGCCCTCTCCAGCCGCACAGCTGAGGGAAGGGAGAGAGAGGGCGTCTGCAGACGGCCACACAGTCCAGCCCAGACCGTGGGCTCCCTGTGCACAGGCCACTCCACGCCTCCCGCCCAGAGGCTGGGAGGTGGCCGGTCAGACTGCCCCCAGGCTGGGACACGGACAGGAGCTGTCTAAGGCCCCCCAGAGGCCGGAGGAGGTGACCGCGAGGGCTGGGGTGGGTGAGGTCCGAAGGCAGCTGCGTGGGGCAGCACTGAGGCCCACGCAGGGCAGGGTGCTTTTCACTGAGCGTGCCCAGTGACAGGAAGGGGTGACAGCACCCTGCGGCCCCTGGGCCTGCCCCCATCATCACTTCTCTACGCTCCCAGCCCCGCGCGCATGCGTCCGCTCACACACACCTGGGACCCCCTCCGCAGGCCGGGGTCTGCTGACCGCCGCTCCGGGCACAGCTGCCCACAGGCTGGGAATGAGGTGTCAGCACTGGTGCATGTGAGCATCAGCACTAGGACACTGCCTCCCACTGGTGGACGGGTGGGACCCTCGCTCTGCAGACCACACTTCAATTCCCGCTCGCCGTCCCATCTGTCATGCCCAAGGGGACAGGACGTGGAGACTCTGGGCACGTCCAGCTGCCCGGCCACCCACCAACACCACACCCACACTCTCCCCTCCTCCCCACGGCGGCCCACCCACCGCCAGCCCAGCCGCGCAGAGCAGTGCGAAGCCAGCACGCCCCGGCGGAGGCTGGGAGCCGGCTGCACACGGTCCTCGCAGTGCCAGCTGGGACGTGCCCCCCGGGGTTCCTGAAAGACGGCGGGGCCGTCAGCGCAGACCACGCGCCAGTAGCAGCCCCTCCGTGGAGGTCCCGCCAGGTTGCGCCACGCGCCTGACTCGCATTAGCACATCCCCCCAACCTGTGCGCCATCCCGCCTCCCGGGGGGGCAGCCCCGGCCTGGGAGTCCACCTGCCTGAGGGCAGACAGCCGTGCAGCCCCGAAGGCCGCTCTCACGCCCACGTGCGGGGCAGCGGCCACCCCGCACGTGGACGGACCAGAGAGGCCACACGCCGGGGTCGGCTCCAGGATGGCAAACATCCCGAGGCGGCCTGGCTGCCGGGGGAGCCTGACCCCCCCTCGCCGGGGAGAGCCGGGCCAAGGTCAGGGTGCTTCTCACTGGCTGCTCCCTGGCACCCCTCCCCCT